TTCCTGGTCATGGGGCTAGATCCCACATGTCACAACAAAGACTGAAGATCCCGCACACCACAACTAAGACCTGGCACAGCCAAATAAATATAACAAATATTTTTGTTAAAGAGAGAGAGAGGCTGACTCTAAAAACAGATGGACTTTGCTGGTGGTCCAGTGGTTAAGGTTCCGAGCTTCCACTCCAGGGGGCATGGGTTCAATCCCTGGTGGAGGAACTAAGATCCAGCATGCCAAAAGAATTAAAAAAATAAAAATTTTAAAGGATAAAATATGCAATTCAATGACGTTAGTATGTTCACAGAATTCTGCAACAAATGGCCACAATCTAAGTTTAGAAAAATGTATCTCCCCCCAACAAAAACCTGTTCATTAAAAGTTGCTCCCCAAACCTTCCCCTTTCCCAAGAAACCACTAATATACTTCCTGTCTCTATGGCTTTGCCTATCCTAGGTTTTTAAAATATAAATGAAATCATGTAATACATAGTCTTTTGGCTTCCTTCAATGAGCATGTTTTAGAAGATTATCTATGTTGTAACGTGTAACATATTGTAACATATAACATGTACTTTATTCCTTTTTATTGCCAAATCATAGTCCTTAGTATAGATATAGTTATTTATCCTTTCGCCATGTTGCTTACTCTTTCATCAGTTAATAAACATTAGGATGGATTTTACCTTTTGACTTTTATGATAGTACTGTTCTGAAAATTCATGTACAGGTTTTGGTATAGGTGTATGCTTGCCTTTCTTTAGTATATCATGTCCAACTCTTTGCAACCCCAGGGACTATAGCCTGCCAGGCTCCTCTGTCCAGGGGATTCTCCAGGCAAGAATACTGGACTGGGCTGCCACTTCCTTCTCTAGGGGATCTTCCCAACCCAGGAATCGATCTTGGGTCTCTCTCTCGTCTTCCTGCATTGGCAGGTGGGTTCTTGACCACTAGCGCCACCTGGGAAGCCCAGAATATACACCCAGGAGAGGAATTACTATACTATGCAGTAGCTCTGCATACACATGTTTTTTAAATGAGGAGGATACTCACTGATGCCAGGGAAAACTTCCACTGTAATGAGGGTACACAGCTTACAGACAGGGTACAGGAAAGATGCGTGTATGCAGTGTGTGTGTGCTCAGTTGGGTCTGACTCTTTGGAACCCTATAAACTATAGCCCACCAGGCTCCTCTGTCCATGGAATTTTCCAGACAGGAATTCTGGAGTGGGTTGCCATTTCCTACTCCAGGGGACCTTCCTGACCCAGGAACCGAACTCGGTTCTCCTGCCTCTCCTGCACTGCAGGCGGATTCTTTACCATTGAGCCACCAAGGGAGGCCCATACAGAACAGATGCACCATGGTTAAGGCAAAGTTCTCATCACAGCCTAAAGGACCCCGTGTGACCCCGGGCACGTTCTCACCTCCACCACCACTGCCTGGAGAGTGCTGTGTGCTGTGCTTAGTCACTCAGTCATGTCCGACTCTTTGAGACCCCACGGATGATAGCCTGCCATGCTCCTCTGTCCATGGGGATTCCCCAGGCAAGAATACTGGGGTGGGTTGCCATGCCCTCCTCCAGGGGATCTTCCCAGCCCAGGGATTGAACCCAGGTCTCCAGCTACCAGCAGATTCTGTACCATCTGAGCCACCAGGGAAGCCCAGAGAGTAGAACTCTTTGGTTCTCATCCCACCCCAGGGCCTCTGTACTTGCTGCTCCCTCTGTCAGGGACACTTGCCCAGGTATTCACATGGTGTGTGCCTTCACTTTCTGCAAGCTTCTATTGTCATCGCCCCTCCACAGAGGTCGTCTGGCATCTGCATGAAAAACAGTAGCCCCATCTCCCATCTCTCATATACCCAACCTTCACTTTTCTTTGTAGTGTTTATCACCACCTGCTATCATATACTTTTGTTTGTTTCTTATCTCCTTCTACTGGAATGTGAGTTTACATGACAATAGAAACTTTTTTTTTCCTGGTATTATATTCCCCAACACCTACATCAATAAATTTATTAAAAATGAATCCATGCCTGACATACACTAGGGGCTCAAGAATAAACAAATGAATAAAAAAGCAAGATAGATGTCCTTTTCTAAATTCACAATCACTGAATCAAATGAGATGCATATCTCTGAAGCAATAAATGGAATGTTCCTATTGAATTCCACATATTCAGTCTTCTTATTGAACTTTTTTTTTCAGTGAATTGAATTGATCCCCAATAGATACAGTGTATGAAAAAAGGTGTCTTGGACATCCGACATCTAGCTTTACAGGGAAAGTCATCAGCATAAGCTGATATAAGATAGTTTCTCAGGGAGCTCTGCTGCTGAAGCCAATACACAATAAAATGAGGGCATATTCATTTTCTGCTTTCTGATTTTGTGCCTAAAGAAGCACCCTGTGGCCTAAGTGTTTTTAGTAATCTCATCAAAATAGTCAATGACTTAACATTAACTAGATTGTTGCTGTTGTTGAAATACAACCTGGGTCGTATTTTTGTATTTTTACAGCTTAGGAACATCTGCAAATTTTGTCTGCCATTAGTGCATTAGTGTTTGATTTCATGCAGAGAAGTCTATACTATCTAAAATGCATTTTCAAAAAACACAATAAGGAAAATGGTAATTTTGTCCAATTAGGTAGTTTGGGGGTTTTTTTGTTTGTTTGCTTGTTTTTTTGGTGTCTGAGTTTTATTGGGAAGGGGAATCCATTGTCATGTGGGAGATCAGACAAATAGATCTAGTGCCTGTGAAATAAAATCCATTATCTGGCTTCTCTGGAGAGGTATGGAGCCCTCTCAGAAGAGCTGGGCTGAAGAAGAAACCACTTATCTCAGTCTACTCCTCCCTCCCTCAGTTAGGCCTAGAAGAACCTTTAAAATCATCCAGACCATTGTGTGTTGTGTTGTGTTGTATTGTTTTTGACCAAAAGAAATTTTCCCAAAAGAAATCTCAAAAGGAGATCCAGTGGGAAGTGGACCGAGGTGGAGCCTCCACAGTGACAAAGGATGATGAGCTAGAAACCCAGCCTCTCAGCCTTACAGTTTCCTTGGGAGTCCCCAGGAGGACTCCAGGGGACTCTTCATTGCAAAGTTTTAAAACAATGATTTATTCCAATTGTGTCATCTCACAGATAAGGAAAGGAGATTCAGGCAGTGCTAAGTTGAGTTTTAAGTCTCCTATAATAAGATACTTGATTCATGGCAAATAGATGGGGATTTAAGGGAAACAGTGACAGACTTTATTTTCTTGGGCTCCAAAACCACTGAAGATGGCGACTGCAACCATGAAATTAAAAGCCACTTTACTCTTTGGCAGAAAAGTTATGACAAACCTAGATAGCATATTAAAAAGCAGAGACTTTACTTTGCCAACAAAGGTCAATATAGTCAAAGTTATGGTTTTTCCAGTAGTCATGTATGGATATGAGAGTTGGACCATAAAGAAGGCTGAACACTGAAGAATTGATGCTTTTGAACTATGGTGTTGGAGAAGACTCTTGAGAGTCCCTTGGACTGCAAGGAGATCCAACCAGTCCATCCTAAAGGAAATCAACACTGAATATTCATTGGAAGGACTGATGCTGAAGCTTCAATACTTTGGCCACCTGGTGCGAAGAGCCAAGTCATTGGAAAAGACTCTGATGCTGGGAAGGATTGACAGCAGGAGGAGAAGGGGTCAGCAGAGAACAAAGTGGTTGAATGGCATCACTGACTCAATGGACATGAATTTAAGCAAGCTCTGGGAGATGATGAAGGACAGGGAAGCCTGGCGTGCTGCAGTCCATGGGTTCACAAAGAGTCAGACACGACTGAGTGAACAACAGACATGGTAAGATGCAGTCATCTCACTGACTCCTCTCACCCTCTATAAAACAGCATTTATCAAGTCGCATCCATTTTTATAGATAAGTGAACATTGCTCACTCAAAGAGCTCTCTCTGACACCCCACCCCACGTGTCCCTTCAATGCCACACCCTTCTCTTCCTGAAGTGTTTCCCATGCATGACTACCCTTTAGGTATAAGGCCTATGGCAGCAGGGACAGTGTCTCTCATCATCCCCATTATGTCCCCAGAACCTAGAACTTGGCCTGTAAACAGAACAACTGGAAACACCTTGAGGGGAAGGATTGTGTTGCGTTTGTCTTTATCTCCAGGGCTTGGCCCTGGGCTTAGCTCAGAGTAGCAGCTCAATAATTGTCTGAGCTGAATTGTGCTGTGGAAATAAAACTACTTAAGAGTGAGAGGGTTCAGTCGTTTGACTCTTTGCGACCCCATGGACAGGCTCCTCTGTTCATGGGATTCTCCAGGACACTGCCATTTCTTCCTCCAGGCAATCTTCCCAACCCAAGGATGGAACCTGGGTTTCCTGCATTGCAGGTGTATTCTTTACCACTGAGCCATTGCGGGAGCCCATAAGACTACATAGAAGTCAGGAGAATCCTTTCCAGGCCCCATTCAGGCTTTTTCTAGGGTCAGGTGTTCTTGGGCAATTTGTCCTCCCTAGTTTTGTCTTTCATAAAATAAAGTAATTGGATTCTGGGGTCTTAGAAAACCCTTTCATCTGAAATGTTCTGTGATACAGTTTTTCTCTTCTTAGAAATGCCTGATGAAAGTGGGTGGCAAGAACTTGAATGAGATGACTACATATATAAAAGGATATTAATCAACAGCTAATGGTTAAGAGAGGACCTCAGGGATCACACCACATGCGATGAGATCTTCATTCTACCATTTACTAACTGGGGGACTGGAGGTGAGGTACTTAACTTCCCCATGCTCCAGTTTCTTCATCCAGAGCAAAGGCGAGGATTAAATGAGATCACATAACGAAAGTATTTAGCATGGTGAAGGGTATCTCATAAGATGGCAACAAATGTTCATTGGCATTGCACCAGAATTATTCAAATGGGAATGATTTCCATTTAAACGTGTATAAAGGTAACTTGATGACATTTTCCATAAACTCACTACTGTTCCTTCTTATGTTTTAGGAGACAAACCCACAAAGGGAAAGAAGGTAAGAAAAAGCATTAAAATGCATTTGTTACTCACTCTTTATTTTAGAAGCATAGGAATATGGACAGTATGAAGGCTTAGATGGCACTTGAAAAATATACTCTAGAAATTTGGTTGGGCTTTGTTATTTGTTTGTAAACCAAAAAAAAAAAAAAATTGTTAACCATGAGCTCTGCTCAAAGAACAATAACTGTGATTTCTGGTTCTCTTTCCTTTTGCAGACTCCTTTACCACCTCCTCGGTAAGACAGTGAAAAGAGAATTTTGTTTTGCAATATACTGACCTGATTAGTTCCAGAGTTTGAAAAGAGATACACAGACATCTGACACTGAAAAACTAATGAGCTGGTCAATGAACAAGAGTAAACAAGCTTCATTCATCCATTTATCATTCATTCATTCACAGTCATATAGTCAATATCCCTTCACGCAGCCATCTTTAATGAATGCCTTGCTTCCCTGCTTCCTGGTTTTTCCCCTTCATTTAGTACGAAGTCTCTGTCTCCTCTAAGTACAGAAGTCTCCCAGAGTCCTGGCCCTGAGAAATGTCTTCAAGGGACCAACAATATATAAGTACATATTTATATAAGTACTTATGTACTTTATATAAGTACATAAGTACATGTATTTTATATACATGTTTATATACATGGGGCTTTCCTGGTGGCTCAGATGGTAAAGAATCTTCCTGCAATGCAAAAGACCCGGGTTCGACCCCTGGGTTGGTAAGATCCCCTGGAGAAGGGAATGGCAACCCACTCTGATATTCTTGCCTGGAGAATCCCACGGACAGAGGAGCCTGGTGGGCTGCAGTCCATGGGGTCACAAAGAGTCAGACACGACTGAGCAACTAAGCATGCACACACATGCATATATGTATATATAAATATGGGGGTGGGTGGAACCTACAGATTTGATTTCTCAGGCTCTGAGTTGGCCACTCTGTTGTCCTACTTGGGCCCATGAGGACCTCCATCACAGCACTTCCTACCCTGGTGGGCCACCTTCCCACTGCTCCTCTCTTTGCCCTCGCAGAGGGCAGCTTTTTGAGCCAAGGTCTGTGTCTTTTTCTCCCTCTGTGTCCCCAGCATCACCAACAGGGCCTGACCCACTCTGTGAACAAGTGAGGGCCTGAGGGAATAAATGAGTGAGCGACTGGCTTTGGAACATTGTCCCATTTCGTTGGAGAGATTCAAAAGCTCAGGTCTTCCAATCCAGGGCAAATGGAAGGCTGCAATCATAGTTTCACCCCAGGCTGCCTAAAATGTCAACAGCAAGCATAGACCTAATGCAGCCTGTAGCAAATTACGTCACAGTCTGGAAAAAAACAGAACCAGAACAGAGGGCAAGCTACAGGGAGAGCGACTGAGACTCGTTAGAATGAGTATTCTGACTTTCCAAGCTCCGGGTAGTGAGCCATCCCCCAAACTGCCATTTCCAACCCAAAGCGGCAGACACAGAAGGCAGGGCTGTCTGAACTCCGGGTCTGAGGAGCCATCTGTATGGCAGACCTCAGGTCCTCACTCTGACTCTTCTTCTTTTTTAATTAATTTATTTATTTATTTTAATTGGAGGCTAATTACTTTACAGTATTGTAGTGGTTTTGCCATACACTCACATGAATCAGCCATGGGTGTACACGCATCCCCCGTCCTGAACCCCCCTTCCTCCCTCCCCATCCCATCCCTCAGGGTCGTCCCAGGGCACCAGCCCCGAGCACCCTGTCTCATGCATCCAACCTGGACTGGCGATCTATTTCACATCTGGTAATATAGACATTTCAATGCCATTCTCTCAAATCATCCCACCCTCGCCTTCTCCCACAGAGTCCAACAGTCTGTTCTTTACATCTGTGTCTCTTTTGCTGTCTTGCATATAGGGTCATCGTTACCATCTTTCTGAATTCCATATGTATGTATTACTATACTGTATTGGTGTTTTTTCTTTCTGACTTACTTCACTCTGTATAATGGGCTCCAGTTTCATCCACCTCATTAGAACTGATTCAAATGCATTCTTTTTAATGGCTGAGTAATATTCCATGGTGTATATGTACCACAGCTTTCTTATCCATTCATCTGCCAATGGATATCTCGGTTGCTTCCATGTCATTCTGACTCTTCACACAGGCCGCCCGTCAAGCTTCCGAAGAAGTACCAGCCCCTCCCCCCGGAGCCACCGAGCAGCAGGCCACCTTTCCCCCAGAGGCACACCTTCCACGAAGCCCAGAGAGGGGCCAGGTGAGAGGCTTGCTGTCGCTGACAATGAGATGACCAGGGGACGGGGGGAGGGGGAGGACGACCACCTCTCGAAGTAGACTCCCCAGCCTGGCGGGGACTGCCACCCCCACCTTGAGGGAAAGCATCTCAGAAATCTCTATTTTGACTCCTTCAAGGAAAATACACTTTCTTTTTATGTCCTTCTTCCTTACGTTGCAAAGAACAGGTTGTAGGGACCCAGCAAGATGGGGTTTGGATCCCAGTTGAGCCACTTTTGGCTGTAAAATTTCAGGAAGCTCTTAGATATCTCTGAATCCTGCTTACTTATAAGAAGAAACTAACCATCCTTGTGAGGTAGAATTGTAAGTTATCTCAAGTTCTAGGGTAGCATCTGTCGCAGCATAGGAAAGAAGAAAGAACAATCACTTAAACAGCATCTCCTATCTGTACCTAACAGAATTAGACACCCGTAATCATATTTGGGGGCGTCCCTGGTGGCTCAGGCAGTAAAGTGTCTGCCTGCAATGCAAGAGGCCCGGGTTCAATCCCTGGGTCAGGAAGATCCCCTGGAGAAGGAAACGGCAACCCACTCCAGTACTCTTGCCTGGAAAATTACATGGATGGAGTAGCCTGGTTGGCTACAGTCCATGGGGTCGCTAAGAGTGGGACACAGCTGAGCAACTTCACTTCACTCACAGCCCTATTTGGGGGCTTCCCAAGTGGCACTGGTGGTAAAGAACCTGCCTGCCAATGCAGGAGATAAAAGAGACTCAGGTTTAATTCCGGGGTTGGGAAGATCCCCTGGAGGAGGGCATGGCCACTCACTCCAGTGTTCTTGCCTTGGAGAATCCCATGGACAGAGGAGCCTGGGGGGCTACAGTCCGTGGGGTCGCAAAGAGGCGGCCACGATGAAGTAACTGGGCTTGCACGCATGCAGCCCAATCAAGTTTGATCTTCTAAGGCTTGAAAAGGCCAAAGCGCCCACCCCAGCGAGGCACATAATAGGTGCCTGGTGAAAGGGCTCCCTACCCACAGGGCACAAAAAGTGACTAAGATTCAGAGAAGTTAGGTGACTTGTCAAAGTTATAGGGTTGGTAAATGACTGTTGAGGGGGAAATATATGCAAAGTGCATTGCAAGACGTTGGGAATGCCACCAGAACTAAGAGAGCTTTGTCTTACTTTTTTTCTTTTTTTTTATTGGGGTATAGTTGACTCACAATGTGTTGCTTTCAGGTGTATAGCAAAGTGAATCAGCTATTCATATACATAAATGCACTCTTTTTTTGGATTCTTTTCCCATAAAGATCATCATAGAGTACTGAGTCGAGGTCCCTATACTATACAGTAGATCCTCATTAGTAAACTATTTTATATATAGTAGTGTGTATGTCTGGAGAAGGCAATGGCACCACACTCAAGTACTCTTGCCTGGAAAATCCCATGGACGGAGGAGCCTGGTAGGCTACAGTCCATGGGGTCTCGAAGAGTCGGACACGACTGAGCGACTTCACTTTCAATTTTCACTTTCACGCATTGGAGAAGGAAATGGCAACCCACTCCACTGTTATTGCCTGGAGAATCCCAGGGACGGCAGAGCCTGGTGGGCTGCCGTCTATGGGGTCGCACAGAGTCGGACACGACTGAAGCGACTTAGCAGCAGCAGCAGCAATGTGTATGTCAATCCCAATCTCCCAGTTTATCCCTCCTCCTCTTTCCTCTCTGGTAATCATAAAATTGTTTTCTACATCTGTGGCTCTACTTCTGTTTTGTGAATAAGTTCATTTGTACCATCACTTTAGATTCCACATATAAATAATATCATATTTGTCCTTCTCTGAATGACTGACTTCACTCAGAATGTGTCTACAGGTCCATCCATGTTGGTGCAAATGGCATTATTTCATTCCTTTATATGGCTGAGTAATATCCCACTGTATATATGTACAACATCTTTATACATTCTTCTGTTGATGGACATTTAGGTTGCTTCCATGTCTTGGCTATTGTGAATAGTGCTACAATAAACATCGGGGTACTTGTATATTTTTGAATTATGGTTTTCTCTGGGTATATGTCCAGAAGTGGGATTGCTGGATCTATTTTTAGTTTTTGTAAGGAACCTCCATGCTGTTCTCCATAGTGGCTGTACCAATTTACATTCCCACCAACAGTACAGAAGGGTTCTCTTTTCTCCACACCCTCTTCAGCATTTATTGTTTGTAGATTTTTTGATGATGGCCATTCTGACTGGTGTGAGGTGATACCTGGGACTTTTAATTTGCATTTCTCTAGTAATTAGTGACATTGAATATCTTTTCACATGCTTTTTGGCCATCCATATATCTTCTTTGGAGAAATATCTTCCAGATCTTCTGCCTACTCTTTGATTGGGTTGGTTTTTGTTATTGAACTGCATGAGTTGTTTGTATGTTTTGGAGATTAATCCAGCTCCTAAAGTAATGAAAATAAAAACAAAAACAAACAAATGGGACCTAATTAAACTTAAAAGCTTTTGCACAGCAAAGGAAACCATAAACAAAATGAAAAGACAACCCACAGAATGAGAGAAAATATTTGCAAAAGAAATGACCAAGAGCCTTGCTTTAGGAAGAGAGTTTTCTATTTATTTTTAGCTGTGCCCAGCTATGTCATCAGATGGCCATTGCTAATAACCATGTGGGAAACACCACTTGAGGCTGTTGTGAGGTTCACTTTATCTGAAAACAGAAGGAAGGCTGGAGATCTGAGTGCCTTTGGCCAGCTCGGGCTCTCTGCTTTCCTGACAGCTGCTCCCTGGGCCCCGTGGGCTGAATCACCCCCTGGAGCGTCTGTGTTTACATCTGGGGATCAACTGCCCAGTGAAGGCAGCCGACAGCTGCAGGCCTTCCAGTTGGCTTTGCTCACCCCAGGTGGTGGGGTGGCCCCCAAGTCTGTGTTTCAGCCTGTGTTCCAGTCTGTGTTTCAGCCGGGCGTACTGCAGTCCATGGGGTCACAAAGACACTGAACAACAACAACAATAAACTTGGCTTCACGAAACAATTGCTGAATTAGAGCCCTTCAGTTCAGGAAAATGTCATTTAGATCACTCATTGACAGCCCGAAGCCAGGACAGAACACTGATGTTTGGAGAATGTTGGTTAGACATTCTCAACCACTTGTGGGTCATCATTATGATTTTTGCAATATCCATGTGCTTCATAGTTTTTGCTTAGCTTTTTTTTTTTTAATTTAAATAGATGTATTTAAAAGGGAAACATAGCACTACCATAAGTAACCACAACACAGTTTCAGAGCAAAACTTTCAGTCTGGAGGAGGTTTTTTCTGTTAAAGGGGAAAAAAAATAAAGTTAGAGTGATGTTCAAGATATATGGGCTTTCCTGGTGGCTCAGATAGTAAAGAATCTGCCTGTAATGCAGGAGACCCAAGTTCAATCTCTGGGTTGATAAGATCCCCTGGAGGAGGGCATGGCAACCCACTCCAATATTCTTGTCTGGAGAATCCCATGAACAGAGGAGCCTGGTGGGCTACAGTCCATGGGGTGGCAAAGAGTCGGACACGACTGGGCAACAAACACTTTTAAGATATACTAACCACTATGTGGAAACTCTCTCCTTGATATAATTAGAAAGAGGAAAAAAAGAAAACTTTCCCACTCTGTATCCATTGTAATTTGAATGCCATGATACATGCACCGAATAAAAATCAGCCTGAGAGGTCAGGAGCATAATCATTGCTTGCTGCAGCTCTAGCTGCACATGGGCCACTTTGGAGTTCTCAGCATTCTGCAAAGAGCAATGCTTCAATCTGCAGTTTTCTGATAAGGACAGAGAACTGCAGCCTGGTCATTGAGCTCTGAAATTTCCTTTAAGCTTCAGCCAACTCAGTGGCCCAAAGTGCAGGGTTCAGCCAAAATATAATTTAAATAAAGTCTGTACTATTTTAAAAACTTTACTTTTAATTGGAAGATAATTGCTTTGCAATGTTGTGTTGGTTTCTGCCATGTGAGTGTGAGTGTGTTCGTCACTCAGTCGTGTCCAACTCTTTGCAACCCCGTGGACTGTAGCCCACCAGGCTCCTCTGTCCAGGGGATTCTTCAGGCAGGAATACTGGAGTGGGTTACCATTTCTTCCTCCAGAGGATCTTCCCAGCTAGGGACTGAACCCGGGTCTCCCGCATTGCAGGCAGATTCTTTACTTTCTGAGCCGCCAGGGACAACATGAATCTATGTCCACTCCTTCTTGAACCTCCCTCCCACCCTCTATTCCATCCCATCCCCTCTAGGGTTACAGAGCCCTGGGTTGAGCTCCCTGTGTTGAACACAGCAATTCCCATTAGCTATCTATTTTACACACGGTAATGTTCATGTTCATTCAATGCCACTCTCTCAGTTCATCCCACCCTCTCCTTCCATCGCTGTATCCACAAGTTTGTTCCCTATGTCTGTGTCTCTATTCCTGCCCTGCAAATAGGTTCATCAGTACTGTTTTTCTAGATTCCATATATATGCTTTAATATGCGATATTTGTTTTTCTCTTATGACTTTCTTCACTCTATACACAATAATGACAGATGAATGGATAAAGAAGCTGTGGTACATATATACAATGGAAGTCTGTGATATTTTTATCAACAAAGCACTCATTTGCCTAACTATGGTTTTCCCTCTTCAACCTTGCTGACACCACATCAGCTCAGGCAACCTTAATATATATGTTCTGATGGTTTGGGAGATGGAAAAAGATCCTTATACATATTGAGAAACTGTAAAGAGAAAGTTATGGATTACAAAGAAGATACATGAATTCACATGCATGAATGGAAACTATGGATTTTAAAGTGTGAACTTTATTATCGTTATAGTTTTACAATATAGATATATAATGATAGGTATTGCCTATAATGATATAATCTATCATGACAGATATTGCCTTTGAGGAAAACTGGGTTAAGGACACATGGGATGTTTCTGTATGATTTCCTACCACTGTGTGAGCACTGCAATTATGTCAGAATGAGAAGTTTAAGTTAAGGAGGGTGTGACTGTTAAAAGTGTCCTGCAGATGTAAGGCGTTCTTTTTCTCCACATAGCTTTCATATGTATTATTTCATGAGAACCTTAATCAACCCTCTTCATTTCTGTCTGCGTTTACCCATTTCACAGGTGGGGAAATGAAGCTTCAGAGAGGAAACTTTACTTATTGAACGTGATGGAACTCAGAGATAACAGAACAAGGACTCAAATCCAATTCATTTGAAACTAAGCCAAAAACTAAGAGAGGTTCCGGAAGGGCTATTTTGACAGTAAAAATAGTGTTATCCTCAAATACACGCTGAGCACCAGTTATGCACGGGGAGGAGTGTGCAAAACTTAAATTGTGTAGTCAAGGACCATGCGTTATTTATTAACCGCCTCCAGCAGCTAATCATGGGACAATTTACGAGTGGAAAGATGCTCTCAGAGAGGCAGGCTGGGGCTAGAGGGGGAGGCCAGAGTCCCCCCTGCTCCTCTATTCCATCACTTTATGCGGGTCTCTCTGTCTCCATAAATCTCATTAAAGAGGACCCCTGAAAGCCAATACCTTCATTTCATGTGTGAGGGGGGCAACCAACTCGTGGGAGTCTTGTCACCACAGGCATTTCAATGCCCAAGGACATTTGTTGCTCCTTGAGAGGACTTCTTACTTCCTAAGTGGATTCTCACTTTAAAATACAGGTTTTGAAAGTTACCAATTTAAAAGGCCAATTTTCCTGAAGTCTTAAATTTCCATCTATAAATATATGCTGTGCTAAGTTGCTTCAGTCGTGTCCGACTCTTTGCAACCCCATGGACTGTAGCCTGCCAGCCTCCTCTGTCCATGGGATTTTCCAGGCAAGAATACTGGAGTAGGTTGCTATTTCCTTCTCCATCTATAAATATAGCACTATAAATGGAGTGCTTTTATCTAAACAGAAAGACAATCCCTCTGCTTGTCACATTACATAGGTTAAAACATAAGACTTTGAGGAACTCAGTTAAATATGCTTAAACTTTTGAAACGCCTTTATTCGCTTCATGTAATTGATTTTTTAAGTACTTCAAATGCTGACAGGGCTGGTTTAAACCCTAACATACCAAACTTTAACATTTCATTTTTATAAATCTAATAAAGTAAATGTATAATTATAGAAAAATTCAAGTTCTCTTAAACAGTTGGAATGGTTTAGAAATGAAGTTGAACATAGCTTGACTCTTATTAACTTAAAATCACAAGTCTAAAAGCAATTACCCAATTTAAATTGAAGCCACATGGCCGATTGTCAGTATTTCTAAGATGCCAGAGTTTCTTAAACATTAAAAACACTGAGATTGGCCTCATTTTAACCCCAAATGAATTAATACTTTGGGTGTCTGTTCTACCTTATTACTTCTACTCATACCTCTTTATCTTCCACTTGCCCCGTTAAGAGGGAGAGGCAGGGTACAGATGCATTATCTCAGATGGGCTGATGAAACAGGTTAAAAAAACATGGGACCTCAGCACACTCGCTTCTTGCTTGGAGATCTAAGACCAGGGTATAGCTTCTGAGTGCTATATGCTGCTGGCAGCGTCTTACCTGATACAGACAGACCTTTATCACTCTAGCTCAACAGCCTTAAACTGGGATTGGTGTTGCAACCTTAATCTCCTAACATCTCTTCTGTTCCAGTCTTCTCACAGGCAGAGGTAGACAGAGGTACACATCACCCCAACCCCCTTCATAGCCACGTCTTCTGGCTTTGCCCACATCCTCACAATAGTGCCCACTGGATGCCCGACATGTTCCTTTTTATCTCCAGCAATGCTCACAATGAGGCTTCCATGGTGGCTCAGTGGTAAAGAATCTGCCTGCAGATGCAGGTGACCCAGGTTCGACCCTGGGATCGGGAAGATCCCCTGGAGGAGGAAATGGCAACCACTCCAGTATTCTTCCCTGGGAAATCCCACAGACAGAGGAGCCTGGCAGGCTACACCCAATGGGGTGGCAAGGAGTTGGACACAATTGAGCGAATAAACAATAACAACGATTTTCACAATAAGCCTCTAGGATAAATATCCTTGTGGCCACTTTCAGATGAGAAAAAATGAGGTTTAGAGAGGCTAATTAACTCAACTGTCAATATAATGAAAGGTTTGGAGTTTCTTCTGAGACAATCCAATGGTCCAAAATCTACTTTATCCAAGTCCCTGTTGAATTCTCCTCCTCCCATTCAGTTTCATGTTCTTTCTTGTCTCAGATCTCCTCCTGTTATCAGCATCCTTTTTCTCACACAGGCCTTCCTGGGTCCTGTTGTACCACAACTTCACACCTAAAATTCTTGATACTTCCTCAAATTTAAAAAAAAAAAAAAAGGAGTTTTAAAATCAAGGTAATAATAGCAGGTCCTTCTGTGCTAATGAAATTTGACATGGAAAACCAAATGTCAGTAGGAATGATGATGTTATTTAAATTCTCCTAAAATGAGAGGCAAGTTTATTCATATCCTTTCTGTCACCACCTTTTATATTGGCTCGTAACTTCTTTTGCTTAGAAAATTATGAGAAAAGTAACCTGACTTTAATTTTATAGAACAGTGATAAATATCACACTGGACTATGGGCTATTAATTTGACAATGAAAATGTAATCAAAGAGCTTTAAGAGCTCAGAATGATTTTATCCTGATCATTATGAGCTGTATTTTATGTAACATCATATTTCTTTCCCTTGCAGACAGATAAGCTTAAAGAACTTAAGTGAGGTAAGTAGCGATTCTGTCCTAGGAAACAAAAAAAGGGAATTTTTTTTGCATTAACTGTCTGTGATGGGCAAGATGCTTAATTATCATAACAGCTATGCTCAATATGTATTAATAGCCTATTTTTTTTTAAATCATTTTTACTTGGAGGCTGCAGTCCATGGGGTCACAAAGAGACACGGCTGAGTGACTGAACTGAACCGAATTGCTTTACAATGTTGTATTGGTTTCTGCAATGTAAACAATGTAAACTAGCTGTGAATATACATATCTCACCTCCCTCTTGAGCTTCCCTCCCTTCCCAGACCCAATCCCACCCTGTAGGTAGTCACAGAGCACCAGCGTGAGCTTCCTGTGCTATCTAACAACTTCCCACTAGCTGTCTATTTTACACAATTATAAAGTACCCTACTTTAAAGGCGATAAAACTAAAGCAAAACAAGCTAAGCCTGAGATTTTAAATGAAATCCCTATTTGCCACCACATTCAGTGTTTATTGGAAGACATGAGGTCTCTACCAATGACTTCCATTCTTCAGCATTTCAGAAGTAAATGTTGGAAATTGTGATACAATTTCCTGACTATTTGTTCCTCACAAGAAAGGAGTGCAAAGTGGATTATATAGGAGATACAGAGTCGCACAGACCTGATTTAGAATCCCACTCTGCCATCAACAACTTTGTGAACTTGAGCAAATCCTCCTGTCCTCACCCCACCCCTGTTCTATTCTGTTTTCCCAACCAAAAAATAGAAACGGGTATCCTCAACTTGGCAAAGTCGATGTGGCAAAGTCAGTCAAAGTTGGCACGTAAATGTCCAGGTGAGCAGTAGATGCTTGATAAGTGGCATGAAGGTCAGATCAGAGGGAGCTCTCTTAGAGCCCCTTAGATGTTGACTTCTTTAAGCCCCAAAGAAGAAGGTCCTTAAGCCAATAGCAGGCCCTGATTTCACTCCCCACTGGCCTCCTAAGGGATTTGGTTCTTATCTTAGTATTTGACCTATGCTTTTACATATAGAACTTGGAGGTTGATCCCCTTCTTTCTTTCTTTTGATGTCAAAAACTTGGCCTCCATGCACTGATGCTGAATGGAATCTCAGACACAGAGTTTTGGGTGAAACAGAAAGGAATAGCTTTATTGCTTTGCCAGGCAAAGGCTGTCACAATGGGTTCCTGCCCCTGAAAGCTGTGTGTCCCAACACTAGAGGATATGGTGAGGAGTTTTTTATAGCAATAGTTCAAGGGTGAGGCTGCTGATAAGAGTAGGGTGTGTGCAGGGCCTCTTTTAATCTGGCTCCAGGTCGTCTCCTGATGAGTTTCTATGGTTCCTGAGGTCATCAAACTGTGACCTCTCTCTGGAATGAAGAATTGTATCAGGTAGTTAACATTTTCACTTATTGGGGGTTTTAGTAGTTCTTCAGAAGATCATCCCCAAGAAAAAGAAATGCAAAAAGGCAAAATGATTGTCTGAGGAGGCCTTACAAGCAGCCATGAAAAGAAAAGACATGAAAGGCAAAGGAGAAAAGGAAAGATATATCCATTTGAATGCAGAGTTCCAGAGAAGAGCAAGGAGAGATAAGAAAGCCTTTCTCAGTGATCATTGCAAAGAAATAGAGGGAAAAAAATAGAATGGGAAAGACTAGAGATCTCTTCAAGAAAATTAGAGATACCAAGGGAACATTTCATGCAAGATAGGCTCAATAAAGGACAGAAATTGTATGGACCTAACAGAAGCAGAAGACATTAAGAAGAGGTGGCAAGATACACAGAAGCACTATACAAAAAAGATCTTCATGACCCACATAATCACGATGGTGTGATCACTCACCTAGAGCCAGACATCCTGGAATGTGAAGTCAAGTGGACCTTAGGAAGCATCACTACGAACAAAGCTAGTGGAGGTGATAGAATTCCAGTTGAGCTATTTCAAAACCTAAAATGATGCTGTTAAAATGTGGGACTCAATATGCCAGCAAATTTGGAAAACTCGGCAGTGGCCACAGGACTGGAAAAGGTCAGTTTTCATCCCAATCTCAAAGAAAGGCAATGCCAAATAATGCTCAAACTACCACGCAATTGCACTCATCTCACACACTAGCAAAGTAATGCTCAAAATTCCCCAAGCTAGCCATCAACAGTATGTGAACTGTGAACTTTCTGATGTTCAAACTGGCTTTAGAAAAGGCAGAGGAACCAGAGATCAAATTGCCAACATCCGCTGGATCATCAAAAAAGCAAGAGAGTTCCAGAAAAACATCTACTTCTGCCTTATAGACTATGCCAAAGCCTTTGACTGTGGATCACAATAAACTGTGAAAAATTCTTAAAGAGAAGGGAATACCAGACCACCTGACCTGCCTTCTGAGAAATTTGTATGCACGTTAGGAAGCAACAGTTAGAACTGAACATGGAACAACAGACTGGATCCAAATTGGGAAAGGAGTACATCAAGGCTGTATATTGTTACCCTGCTTATTTAACTTATATGCAGAGTACATTATGAGAAACACTAGACTGGAAGCATAAGCTGGAATCAAGATTGTCGGGAGAAATATCAGTTAGGTCAGATATGCAGATGACACCATCCTTATGGGAGAAAGCGAAGAACTAAAGAGCCTCTTGATGTAAGTGAAAGAGGAGAGTGAAAAAGTTGGCTTAAAACTCAGCATTCAGAAAACTAAGATGATGGCATCTGGTCCCATCACTTCATGGCAAATAGATGGGGAAACAGTGGAAACAGGGACAGACTTTATTTTGGGGGGCTCCAAAATCACTGCAGATGGTGACTGCAGCCATGAAATTAAAAGATGCTTGCTCCTTGAAAGAAAAGTTATGACCAAACTAGACAGCTTATTAAAAACCAGAGACATTACTTTGCCTAGAAAGGTCCATCTATGGTTTTTCCAGTAAACATTTATGGATGTGAGTTGGGCTATAAAGAAAGTGAACACCGAAGAACTGATGCTTTTGAACTGTGGTGTTGGAGAAGACTCTTAAGAGTCCCTTGGGAAAAAAAAAAAAAGAGTCCCTTGAACTGCAAGGAAATCCAACCAGTCAATCCTCAAGGAAATCAGTCCTGAATATTCATTGGAAGGAGTGATGCTGAAGCTGAAACTCCAATACTTTGGCCACCTGATGTGAAGACCTGACTCATTTGAAAAGACCCAGATGCTGGGAAAGATTGAATGTGGGAGAGAAGGGGACGACAGAAGATGAGATGGTTGGATGGCATCACCGACTCAATGGACATGAGTTTGGGTAAACTCTGACAGTTGGTGATGGACAGGGAAGACTGGCATGCTGTAGTCTATGGGGTTGCAAAGAGTTGGACATGACTGAGTGACTGAGCTGATACTGATACAGAAGAGCTCAAAGATATTATGTTTATCCCTTGAGGCAAAACCAGGACTGCACTATTGTTTCTTGGCTTCTCCTCCTTTGTCTCTGTATCCCTTCCCTTCCCTGAGTCTGCCTTGTAGGACTCTGGGAAGGTCATGGAATCTGGAGTCAGTTCAGTTCAGTTCAGTAGCTCAGTCGTGTCCAACTCTTTGTGACCCCATGAACGGCAGCACACCAAGCCTCCCTGTCCATCACCAACTCCCGGAGTCTACCCAAACCCATGTCCATTGAGTCAGTGATGCCATCCAACCATCTCATCCTCTGTCATCCCCTTCTCCTCCTGCCCTCAATCTTTCCCAGCATCAGGGTCTTTTCCAATGAATCAGCTCTTCACATCAGGTGGCCAAAGTATTGGAGTTTCAACTTCAACATCAGTCCTTCCAATGAACACCCAGGACTCATCTCCTTTAGGATGAACTGGTTGGATCTCCTTGCAGTCCAAGGGACTATCAGGAGTCTTCTCCAACACCACAGTTCAAAAGCATCAATTCTTCACTGCTCAGCTTTCTTTATAGTCTAACTCTCACATCCATACATGACCACTGGAAAAACCATAGCCTTGACTAGACAGAACTTTGTTGGCAAAGTAATGTCTCTGCTTTTTAATATGCTGTCTAGGTTGGTCATAACTTTCCTTCCAAGGAGTAAGCATCTTTTAATTTCATGGCTGCAATCACCATCTGCAGTGACTGTGGAGCCCCCAAAAATAAAGTCTGACACCGTTTCCACTGTTTCCCCATCTATTTGCCATGAAGTGATGGGACCAGATGCCACGATCTTAGTTTTCTGAATGTTGAACTGTAAGCCAACTTTTTCACTCTCCTCTTTGACTTTCATCAAGAGGCCCTTTAGTTCCTCTTCACTCTCTGCTGTCTGTTCCCTATAAAAACAAGGAACTGGGTCACAGAAAGGCTTCTGCTCCCAGGAGCCCCACAGGGCTGCTCAGTTTCATTTTCTCTCTATTTCTTTCTCCTTTCTTCTTTCTTTCCTTCCTTCCTTCCTTCCTTTCTTCCTGGTATTATGAGAATGTTAGACTTGAGTCACATTTCTAGCTTGCCCCTCAAGCAAGGTAGTTATACCTCCAATCCATAAGACAAGAATATCAAGGAGGATAACACATGAGTAATGCATGAAGGATTTATTCAAGACTCCACCTAGCTTATCCTCTTCTGCAAGTTGTTGGACTTCCAAGTGCCAGCAGGAAGGAGAAAGTAGGGGTGGTCTTCTGCAGCTGAAGGAACCCACACATCTAAAGGGTCTCCACCCTTTTCTTCCTGAGGATCAGCTAATGTGTCCCAAGTAGGCTGTCACTCAAGATGACCATTATTCACTGCTCAGTATGAAAGGACAATAGGCCCACCAATCATAAACAAGTAAGAAGGAAGTGGAAATGCCTGCCTTGGACAGCAGGGATCCTGCAGGACAGTTTGTTTTTCTTGCAACTTTCATTGGCATTCTGCTGGAAATTGATAACATCTAAAGAACAACAAGGTCTAGTGGAAGAACACATTTTTCTTCCTTATCTCTTGCCAAGACACTTCCTCATTGTTCTTGCCAAAACACTTCCTCATTGTTTGGACTGAGAGTCAAGGTCATTTCTCTATTTCAAAAGCCCATCTCATAGGGCACATGCCATGTTTGTGTGAGTGTTAAATTCTTGCTGAAATTACATCTTGAGGACCAGAATTCATTCCAGCAGAAGTGATGTGCCACCTGCCACCCCCTCCCCCAAAACCAACAACAACTAAGAGAAAAAAAGAGGGCTTCCCTGATGGATCAGACAGTAAGGAATCTGGTTGCAGTACAGGAGGCCAGTGTTTGGTCCCTAAGCCAGGAAGATCCCCTGGAGAAGGAAGCGGAAATCCACTCTAGTATTCTTGCCTGGAGGATTCCATGGACAGGGGAACCTGGCTGTTGCAAAGGTTGCAGTGGACAGGGAGTCTATGGGGTTGCAAAGAGTCAGACAAGACTGAATGACTAACACATACACATAAGAGAAAAAGAAGCCTCAGAAGAGTGGCAAGAATTGCCAGCTGGCGGACAGGTGGAGCCAGTGCTGAAAGCCTGAAGTCTCAATCTACTTTTCATGTCCATAGTTCTGCCCTAGGAAATATGTAACTCACCTGAAATGAAGTAGTGAAAAACAAGAAGAAAGAAACAGATGAAAGGATGGATGAGAAGAAGGTGGGAAATGAAAAAGAAGGCATTATATTAACTTGAATGTGTTAATTTTCTAACCAAAAAAAAATCTAGATTTCACTCTATCTTTTTCTATTTAATTTTTTTTTTTTTTACCTTTTGCAATCCTCTTTAATGTCTGGCTGAACAGAGACAGCTGGATTCCTTGTTTTCTTAACTTTACTTAACATTGGAATATAGTTGACTATAGGGCTTACCTTGCGGCTCAGCTGGTAAAGAATACACCTGCCACATGGGAGACCTGAGTTTGAACCCTGGGTAGGAAAGATCTCCTGAAGAAGGGAAAGGCTACCCACTCCAGTATTCTGGCCTGGAGAATTCCATGGACTGTATAGTCCATGGGGTCGCAAAGAGTCAGCCACGACTGAGCGACTTTCACTTCATAGTTGACTTAGAGTATTGTGTCAGTTTCAGGAGTACAGCAAAGTGATTCAGTTATCCATACACATACATCTGTTCTTCTTCAGATCTCTTTCCCATATAGGTTATTACAGAATATTCAGTATTTGAGTATATTGAGAATATTCTGTATATTGAGTAGAGTTCCCTGTGCTATATGATGGGTCCTTAACAAATTATCTATCTTACATAGTCTAGTACTTCCCCACCACCACCTTTGCCCTTTGGTCACTATAAATTTGTTTTCTATGTCTGTGAGTGTGTTTCTGTTTTATAAATAAGTTGATTTGTATCATTTTTTTTAATATTTCACATATAAGCGATATCATTAATATATTATATTTGGATCTAGAGATTGTTATATTAAATGAAGTCAGAGTAAAGCAAATATCTCTCCACTTTTCTAATTGCATTTGATTTTAAATTCAGAGCCCTCAAGCAAAAAGTTGGCTGGGTCTCATGTAAACAAAACAAGAGCTCTCTCAGACAGATGGCTTCTCAGCTGTATTTACAGCAAGGCTTTCCCTCTCCTTTGACAAGCCTGAGAACCACAGCACAAAAGATTGAGCACTTTGAACTGGCCGGTTCAAAGTGTTGGAGAGGACTCAGTGTGGAGACTTTCAAACCACTCATGAGGATCGATTCATTCATTACCCTATTTATGTAGCCTATTGTTGCTGCTGTTGTCACCTAATCGTCCAACTCTTTGCGACCCCATGGACTGCAGCATGCCAGGCTTCCCTGTCCTTCACCGTCTCCTGGAGCTTGCTCAAGCTCATGTCCACTGAGCCGGTGATGTCATCCAACCCCCTCATCCTTTGTCGTCCCCTTCTCCTCCTGCCTTCAGTCTATAGTTTTGCCTTGAGTTGCTGGCCATGAGGAAATGTATGTCCTCTTTTCAGAATCCTAGGGGATGCCAAGTTCCTTAAGATAAAAGGGCTTGTCTGTTGGCCTGCCTTAGACAAGACATACGATGCCTCTCTGAGATATTTGTTGATACAGGTTTCTTGTCTATGAAACTAGTGTGAGTCAGGAGACCTGGGCTCCAGAGTCCGCCCAGTGACAAGATAATTCTGGGACTCTGGGCAAATGGCACCACCTCTTTGGACCTCGTATGCAATCTACTGGCTTTAACTTTTTATGGACCTCAGATCACTTGGAAAATTTGATGAAAAGTATGATAAACCTTTCCCACCCCCAGAAAAAAAAAATGCACATATTTACAGAAAAAAAAAATCAGTTTTAATTTCAGAAGGTTAATGAACCCCATTAGGCCATTCAAGGACCTCTTCCATCCCCCAGGTTAAGGAACTCTTGTCCAAATGATACTTGTAGACCTCCTCAACTGCTGTAATGCATGAAATGGAGTTTAGAGAATTATTTGCAGTTAAGTAAATACTTCCGCAAATACTGTGCTTCTTGCAAGGCATTTTAATTCTTTAAAAGTGTAATAGGACTCCAGGATGCAATCCAAATAAGCACATAGACTTTCATAATGAAGAATCATCAGGAATTCACTATTAAGGAAAGAAAGAGAAAGAAAATGTTTGGAAAGAGAAATGGTTGCCTTAAAAAGAATATTGTGAATATTTTCATGTTCATCTTTAAAAATAAAAATTCCAAAGCAGGTATAAAGAAAATTAACCATGGCTTTCATCACTTAAACACAAACTCTATTAAAATTTTATCATCTCTCTTCAAATTCTGTTTCCTATAATACAACCACACACACACACACACACACACACTGCTTTTAAATATATCATAAGCCCCATTTTTATCCTGAAGTTTTTATGTAACTTTGAGACATTGATAAAGTACAATTTTATGCCATACTGTATATAAATAATTGCAATGAATTTCTAATTTTGCAATAGTGAATATAGCACCAAAATTTATTTAATATTTCCCACTTAGAGGGTCATATAGATTGTGTCCAGTGTTTTTATATTATAAGTAATGATGTACTGGACATCTTTTTACACGGAACTTGATCCAGATTTCAGGTTGTTGTCTTAGAAAAAGAAACTTCTCGATGGAATTATTGGGATAAGAATAAGAGCATTTCTAAGGCTCCTAATAGCTATGGTTAAATTGGTTTCAAAAATAGTCAAAGCAATTTATAGTCCCATTAGCAGACTGTATATTTGCCTGTTACTTCAGAGCATAAAAACAAGGAGTATAAAATTTTTATTTTTGCCTAGTCTTTTGGAGGCATATTCAGATTTTTAAAAATCAATACTAACAGAAATGTTGCCCAAACTCACTAAGAGTCACTCAATAATATTCTCTTTTTAATTCAATACAGGTCCTTGGAACAGAGAAAGGTGAACTGTTTATATTTGTTTTCTTATCCTAACACCATTAAGTGAACACCATTAGGCTAAGTCCTATTTCCAGGTTAATAGCATTAGTCTTTTTTTTTTTTTTTAAGAATTGCTTGTTTCAGGCCCTGGGATATATGGGAATGTGTGTGTGTGCATGATGACATGATCCAGATGGATTCAGGACCTCAGAGTACATTCCAGAGTATATTCCAGAGTCCTGTGATCTAAACAGGATGATTTAAATTGGACATGGGGTAGAGTTCTTCAGCTACAGGCTAGTGACAAGGAGGCTCGCTGTCACCCCCCAATATTTTGGAAGGATATTGCTGGCCTGCTGCTCCATAGAAGCTCTGGGTCTCTCCATCTTTGATGTCAGTCACTGACAGACATCAACCCTCATGTGTGCACATGTACACATATATACACACTGCTGGTGTCACTATTGTGGAAGCATGGAATTCAATACTCGCTAGCTGGGAGGATGCTAATCTGGTGATACCTTCATGCCCACCTTTGAGATACTGTTCACCATTCACTTAGAATGATGAGTTATGTCCAGAGCCGAAGGGCCTGAACTAGGTCCCAAAGAGTAACACAGGCAGCCTAGTTCAACAAAGCAACATTGGGTTAAGATTTCAGAGACTCACCACCAGCTGTTTTGTTTTGGACAAGTTGCATTGCTCCTGTGAGCCTCAAGTCTTCTCATTTTATATTGAGGAAGTTATACTTGAGTGGGTCCTAACCAAGAATTTTTGGTGGAGGAGTAGGGGTCTGTTGGGAATGCTAAGTAATTTTAAAACCTAAAGGAAACTGTGCCTATCTCCTCAATAAAGCTCAGCATTCTAACTGAAACATTCAGGAGTTGTTGCTGCAGGCTTCAGTGATCATCAACACGGAAATGTGACTTTGGCCAACTCATGGGGGAGCTGTTGATGGCCTGAAATGATTTTATGGGATGTGTGACTACTGGACCAGTCACTGACTCCAGTCACATTTTAAGTAATCACGGTCCTTCAATCAAAGGTGTCAAGTTTGTGATCAACCTTGGACACAGCACAGAGGAACAACCAAAATTAAGACACGTCAGTGTTTATGCTTCCTTAACTTTATTACTTACAACTGCAGCTAGGAGAGTGTTTTATGGGCTTTCCTATCATTGTTTTATTATGTGACCTTGGTAATTCTGGATGGCTGGTTAAAATCTATCCATGATTAAAAGAAAATAAAAAGTGATAATACAAATGAAGTGAAAGTCACTCAGTCATGTCTGACTCTTAGTGACCCCATGAACCATATAGTCCACAGAATTCTCCAAGCCAGAATACTGGACTGGGTAGCCTTTCCCTTCTCCAGGGGATCTTCCCAACCCAGGGTTCAAACCCAGGTCTCCCACATTGCAGGTGGATTCTTTACCAGCTGAGCCACAAGGAAAGCCCAAGAATACTGGAGTGGGTAGCCTATCCCTTCTCCAGTGGATCTTCCTGACCCAAGAATCAAACCAGGGTCTCCTGCATTGCAGATGGATTCTTTATTAACTGAGCTATCAGGGAAGCCCAGTAATACAAATGACATATGTAATTACTAAATAAGCTCAGTTCCTATGGTTGGCAGAACTTTTCAAAACTTGAAGATCAAAGGAATAACTGAGAAAATGAATGTCTGGTGGGAACCAGGTAGGAACCACTGGTCTACACCAGAATCCTGGGAGCTTTCCTGCTTTATCACAGGAGAGACAGGAGAACTCAGGTGTACATGGGCAAGCATCCAGCATGCCCATAACCTACATTGCTCTAAATGGTTCTTAAGTTCAACAAGTTTGCTTATGTTTTTATGTAAAATTTCATATGTATGCAGAATTCAACTTCAATCCACTTCCACTTCAAACCTGTCCAAAACAAATACCTTCTAATGCAATATTCTATATTTGGTGGAAGTTTAAGAATGAGTTCTAGATTTAATATTTTTGAAAATATTAACTATTCAACATTAAAGCAATTTTTATAGCCTCAAGGACAAGCTACTCCCAGGACCCAGGGTTTTGTAGAATATATGGGTTACAGTTTCCACTAACCACCAACTGCTCACTCCTAACAATAGAGATTGCTTGGTTGAAATTACAGCCATTTCAAAAGACCCCTACTGGCCCCCAATCATTTTCCTTTTACAACCTGACCAAATTCTGTGATGCCTTTACACAGTTCCTTATCACCAGATGAAGCCTGAAGCACCTCATCTGCCACAAAACCAAAGTCCTCAAGAGATTCCTTTTGCAGTTACCAGGTAAGGACCCAGGAATCCCTGGCTGGGTCCCAGCTTGGGGGCCGGCCCTGTGTTGCCTGGGATAATGACTCACGGGGTCTCCTGAAAAAGACTCTCTGGCCTTCGATAATGAAGCCCAGTGACAAGGTCCCAAGGAAACCCGTGAATTATAGTTGTTGTTGAAGTTAATAGGATTTAAACTGGCCATGGGGTAGAAGTCTTTTTTTCAGCTACAGGCATTGTTCTTCTTGACTTTATAAGTGACTGATTGTGCATTGGAGACAATATTTGAAGACACGGGTATTCACTAGGTAGGATTAACTGGCATGGCAGCTAATCCACCTGGGAAGAAAAGTTGACATTTCTAACCAGTCTCAGTGGATGACCGCACAGAAGCTGACAGTCACTTTGGAACAGCACCTTATAAATGAGCAGGGGTTGAAGATGCCATTATCTGAGTAAATACTTGCCTGATTAGGTTATTGTGACAACTGTCATCCCAACAGAAGCGTCGAGGAACTAATGAGGCTGGTGATTCATTGGCCGACGTCACATTAGCAGTAGTTTCCTTAACATCCCGAGTCTCTAAAATTAGTACTACCAGGCCCTCCTGTCTGCAGTCTGGCCAGTGGCTCCAGCTCAGTTCCGGGCACTCTCCACTGCTGCTAACAAAGGACATTTGCATGTGCTATTCCTCTTCCTGTAACACTTCCCCCCACCCCTCACATTTCTGTCTCTCCAGCATCTCTCTATTTGGGAAACTTCTCTTGGTTCAGCAGACCCCAGCTCAAAGCCACCCTGAATCCAAGAAGTAGCTCTTCCCCATTCCCCAGAGGGAATAAATGAGGCCCAGGGAGGCTGAGTCCCTTACTGCTGAAATCAAGCCCAGCTTCACTCTTCAGTAACCCATCGCATCTACACTGATTTGATTCTGAAAATGCAGCCCATGAATCTTGACTGTCCTTGGTGCCTGTCCAGAGTTAAGATGCTCTTCTATTATTTAATAACTATTTACGGGGCATGTCCTCTGTTTGTGGTGGAATAGAGTACTGCTTAGGAGGGAGTCCCTGAAATCAGACTGCCTGGCTTCCTCACTAACAAACCACGTGACCTTGGGCATCTTCACTCACCCTGTTCAACATGCCCACGTGCCCACTAACCACCAGCTCTCAATGCCATTGCCAGCCGCTGTATGTCAGGGGCGTTGTCTCCACCCCGCATTCTTTTCCCTGCCATCACTTTCTTGTGCTATTTCACACCTTTGGTAACTTTGTTCTCACTCTTTAGTGTGTGGGCTTCATTCTCTAATTAGACTGTTTTCTGTTTAAGGCCCAACCTGACACAAAACCCTTGCCCACATAACAAATAGAAACTCTTTCCAATGTAATTGTCTGAAAGGAAACAAAAAATCATCATATTATAGTGAAAAGATCACGAGGTTTCAGTTGGACCCACATCTGCAGTAGTTGTTGTTTAACGTGACTTGGATTCTTTTGTGTGTTTATTTAATTAATTGAACAACATCTCCTGATTTGGGGGGCCTCCCTCATAGCTTGGTAAAGAATCTGCCTGCAATGCAGGAGACTTGGGTTCGATTCCTTGGTAGGGAAGATCCCCTAGAGAAGGAAATGGCAACCCACTCAAGTATTTCTTTGAATCCCATGGACAGAGGAGCCTGGTGGGCTGCAGTCCATGGGGTTGCAAGAGTCAGACATGACTGAGTGACTTCCACTCACTTACTCACTCCTGATATTTCTTTCTCTCTTAACTGACTGCACCTTCTAAGTCTCCTTTTTCCCAAACTGACCTGTAATATTGGTATTCCTCAGATCTTTCTGAGGACCTTTTTTCTCTTGGTAAGAGTATAGGCAGTTTATCCATCCTCACGGTGTCAAATATCAATTCTATATTGATCATTACTAAATCTCTGTCTTCTGCCCCAATCACCCTTTTTAGCCCCAGACCCATGTCCAGTTACCCAATGAGCAGTTTTCCTTGAATCAGTGACAGGCATCTCAAATTCAATGTTGGAAACTGAACTGATTTATACTTTCGTTTCCAGACCCACACTACCCTCTTATAAACTTTCTCACCTCAATAAATGGTATACTCTCTTTCCCATCTTCACTCTTCCCATCCTGTTTATTAACAGTCCCCTAATTCTCAAATCTCAACTCATAACAGGTCTTTTTTTTTTTTTCTCAATACACCTTTATTTTTTTTTCTTTCTTTTTTTTCCCCATTTATTTTTATTAGTTGGAGGCTAATTATTTTACATCATTGCAGTGGTTTTTGTCATACATTGAAATGAATTAGCCATGGATTTACATGTATTCCCCATCCCGGTCCCCCCTTTCACCTCCCTCTCCACCCGATCCCTCTGGGTCTTCCCAGTGCACCAGGCCCGAGCACTTGTCTCATGCACCCAACCATAACAGATCTTGAATCTGTCCTTTCCCTAGCTCCCAGGAAAACTTTCTTGAGAACCAAACCAATTTTGTCTAGATTAAGCGACATTCTTTTGCTATGCTCACCTCTATGGTGGTGTTTACCCCATATTGTGATTGTGGTATAATTATGTCTTCCCTTCAAAAATGAAGGTGCTTCATGGCAGAAGCCATGTCTTATTCATTTGATACCTCCCAAAACATGCAATGTACTTAGTAAGCACTCAGTGTTTATAAAATGAAAGAACTATCAATTCTGTTTTAGTTCAGGAGTTTTTTTCTTCTATTTTTATAAACTTTGTACTTGACACCAAGAATATCTTCAGAGGATATTACTCTTCTCTCAACATTTTCTAAAAATCTTGAAAAATTAGGGCAGTGAAATTTTGCTATCCAAGATTTTGAAATTAATATATTACATATAGTTGCTGAGTCCAGTCCAATGTTTTTGCAACCCCGTGGACTGTAGCCCGCCAGGCTCTTCTGTTAATCGGATTTCCCAGGCAAGAATACTGGAGTGGGTTGCCATTTCCTTCTCCAGGGAATCTTCCCAACCCAGGGCTCAAACCTGTGTCTCCTGCATTGGCAGGCAGATTCTTTACCACTGAGCCACAGGGAAGCCAACAGTCCTATATATTTTTGATTGCCCTGGGTCTCTGCTGCTGTGTGCGGGCTTTCTCTAGTTGCCGTGAGCGGAGGCTGCTCTTCATTCTGATGCATTGGCTTCTCGTTGCAGTGGCTTCTCTTGTTGTGGGGTGTGGGCTCTAGGCACACAGGCTTCAGTAGTTGCAACTCCCAGGTTCCAGAGCACAGGGTCAAGAGTCGTGGTGCACGGGCTTTAGTTGCCCTGAAGCATGTAGAATCTTCTTGGACCAGGGGTGGAATCCATGTCCCCAGCACTGGCAGGCTGATCCTTATCCAGGCAGTGGCTTATCCACTGCCTGGATAAGAATCAGGGAAGCCCTCCATGATTTTTTCCCTAGACATTTAACAAAATTTTACACTGACTCATAGTAAAGGGACCATGAATCGAAGGCTTAGATAGCAAAAGAAGCCTGACCAGTGATGACAGCACAATGTGGTGGTCCAATGATATAATGGCATTTCTGTCTATGAAGCAAGTCATAAGACTCCAGGCTTCCACGGAAATAACAAAAACCAGATATGCATTCAGTTGATTTCATCACTGCTGGTAAAGGGATGAATTTTGCTGAATTAACCCAGAGGCTTTATTCAATTGCACGATCATGGCATAGAACACGCTCCATGTAATTAGATTTAACTTCAGCAATACCTAGAGTTTATAATGAGGATGCTGACCACAATACAAAATGAACCAGAAAATTAGCGCTGAGTGTTACCTAAAGCTAAACATTAAGTAAAGTGCTAAACTAAAGCTGCTGGTAAATAGTCTTGGTAACATTGTTACTGTGTTTAGAAATGCATATTATTTTACTGTCTTTTATTATATTTTTATAATCCTTTTTTCTTTATGGATTTCCTTCCTTTACACACAGTTTTCTTACCTAGCTCACATTTTAAGAGGAAATGAAATAATTTCTATGCCCTTCTTCCTTGCTATGCATGACTCACCCTCAATTGGTGAGCAATTATTAATACTACAGAGTAGGAGCTGTAGTGTTTTCTACAGTGACCGTATCTACAAGGCAAGTCTGGAGTCATGGCTTCCAAAGTAAAGGATTACAATGCATGTTCATTGAAGTGACATGAAAAGAACATACATGAGTCAGTCAATTTGTTCCACATCTAATGTCAGTCTGTCTTGAGAAAGGAAAGAACCAGCCTCCTACACCTTACAAAACAGATGATTCTTCTAACTCATCCAGTAAACTATGAAGTGCTCTGTAAATATGATTTAGACCATGAGTACTGACCCAGCTAAGTAGAAATACTAACGTTCTTTCAATTGTAATATTTCCTTTAGCTCTTCATTCACGACACGCAACCCGACTGTGCAAAACCGAGGTAAGAACTCTTTACCTAAGCATTATAAAATAAGCAGGTAAGTCGGGACACTATGATATTCCTGCACCATGAATTAGCTTTTGTGAAACTAAGAGTCCCTCAGCTGATGCATGTAGATGTAATTCTCTGGTTTTCATTGATAGGTGGCATTGTATTGTGTTAATATCACATAAATTTTATCCACAATTAAATATGATCACTTAGGTGGTTTCCAGCTTTTTCCTCTTATGAACATTAGTTGTGAGCAGTATTGTAGATGCTTTCCCTTGTATATAACATGTACATATTTTCCCAAGTACATAATAGGATACGTTCTCCTTTTAAGAGGGAAATGGCCACATCTTAGAATATTCCTCTCTTCAGTGACACTAGATGGTGGTAGCTTAGTTGCTAAGTCAGCTCTGACTCTTGAGACCCTATGGACTATAGCCCACCAGGGATTTCTCAGGTAAGAACACTGGAGTGGCTTTCCACTTTCTTCTCCAGGGTATCTTCCTGACCCATGGATTGAACGATGTCTCCTGCATTGCAGGAGGATTCTTTACCACTGAACCACCAGGGAAGCCCGACCCTAGATGTATTTTCCAAATTAGACAAATCACTTTGTTTGACCAACAGCTTATGAGAGCCTATTGTTTCCCATCCTCTCCAACAGTTGTTTCTTGACAAACCTTTAGTTTTTGCCATTGCATTGACTGTAAAATATATTTATCTTAAAAAGAGTCTGTGAAATAGAGAAAATAAAAGCAACCTCTCTTACTAATTCATTGAAAAGGTAAAAATCAGAAGGATACCATGTCCATGGAGATGTCAAAAGTAGCCTATAAATATAGTGTTATATTACTCTTGATGATGGGTTTTGATATTGTTAGTATTATTTGGCCAAACTAGATATGTCGTGTTCTTTTGTCTTTCTTTCTTCACCCTCTATGCCATAGAGATTCTATGTCCAGGCCTAATCTTTTAGTCCCTCTGTGCTGAGCCACAGAATGGTGGCTGGACCCCATGGGATGGAGTGGGAAGACTGATGCTCTGCTGACCTTGATCCCACTTCTGCCTCTTGGAGCTTTACCGTCCTCCATCCGTAAAATTCAAATACTACTAATTAACAGGGTTGATACACACACACACGCAGCCAGCCCTCTGCTTAGCACATTGTGGGAAACTGACACATTTTAATATCTTTCCTTCTTTTTTGCATTTCCTTTCCATCTCTGGCAATTCTCTACCTAACTGAGCAAGTGAGACTAAGAGATTCCTCCATAGCCTCCATCATGTCCTTATTTTTCTTCTGCCCTACACCATCTGGGCCTTACATGGGGAAACCAATATGGAAAACTCATTATCCCCAGATGCATGCATCACTAATAAGAGTTTCCCAAGAGAGGACTCCTTTTCTAAAGGAGGATGGCCACATGGCTCAATTCCTAGAAATTGAATGACAGAAATGGCAGTCTTGGAGGCCAGATCTTGGTGTATGAAAACAAAAAGACTTGGGAGATCCAGGTGAAAGGTCCATGGGCTGGATGGGCCAGGAAGGGCTTTACAGATGGGGGTTTTGAAATTGGTATTATTGCAGATAGATTAAATAGGATTCCAGAGTCTTGACTTGAAAGACAAAATCTTGAACACATAAAAAAATAAAGAGCAGTTGAAGAATGGAACAGTAGTGTTAGTGAAGTGGAAAGCCTTCAAAGACATGAGTCCAGTCAAGCATCCTTTGACTAGGAGTATATCATTCATACTGGGGTTATGTAGACTGTTCTCTAATCATCTTAGAAGAAACAGGTTTGCTTAAAGAAACATCCTGGGATGGACAGGGAAAATGTTTTTGTCTCCAATGCCTTCAAACACCATCAATTCCTCTTTGGGGCAAGAAATATCCACCAAGCACGTGGTTTATGCCCCAAATTGGGCTGGGCCTTAAAAATGCCGAATAGAAACAGCCTTATCCTTTAACTGACCAGTGCCTGAACTTTTCCATCAATTTATTCAGTGATTCATCCTCCTGGGTAAAAATTCACCCTTGGGTCACCAGCGCTTGGCAGAAATTAGGTGCACAGAAAACAGTACACAATCTGGTCACATGTAGAGTGCTGAGTCTAGCGGGCTCTCTAAAGTTTGCTAGTTTTAAGTTGGATGTCTCAGGTGAGGGAGACAGTGTTCTACATGTAGAAGACTGAAACCTACTTCTCCATCAATGTAGATATCATCATCCTAATTTAACAAATGAGAAAAAATTTTGAAAATATAGTTAGGCTTCTTTTTAAGGATGGTCCTTTATTTTACTTATATTTATTTTTAAGGAGTATAATTGCTTTACAACACTGTGTTAGTTTCTGCTATACAACAATGTGAATCAGCTACATGTAAACATACATCCCCTCCTTCCTGGTCTTCCCTTCCACCCCCCACCCCCCATCCCACTCCTCTAGCTCACCACAGAGCACGAAGCTGAGTGAGTTCCCCGTGCTATGCAGCAGCTTCCCATTAGCTAGCTATTTCATACAGGGTAGCATATATATGTCAATTCTACCACATGCCCATTTACAGTTATTCTTGACTGTTCATTTACTAGTGAATAAATAGGTTGTTCTCAATTTTCTGATAAATAAATTCAAGCTAAACTGGTGGGAGCCTAAGTAGATGGATCTCCAGACAAAAAAGAAAATTATTTTGATGTATTGGAAGAGAAACCTGAAAGTTTGGGTTATAACTAAAAAATATTAACTTTTGAGATGTTGGATGATTTCTTTTCTTCTTTATTTCAGTTTTTGTCCACTAAAGTTTTCTTTTTCTATCTGCAGTTTATAAAATTTTTGTCATATATGACTTTTTTCTTAGAATTTTTTTTAAATTTTATAGGGGGTAAACTTAAAATAGAGACAATACTTTGTCAACAAAGGTCCGTCTAGTCAAGGCTATGGTTTTTCCAGTGGTCATGTATGGATGTGAGAGTTGGACTATAAAGAAAGCTGAGCACTGAAGAATTGATGCTTGTGAACTATGGTGTTGGAGAAGCCTCTTGAGAATCTTCTGCAAGGAGATCCAACCAGTCCATCCTAAAGGAGATCAGTCCTGGGTGTTCATTGGAAGGACTGATGTTGAAGTTGAAACTCCAGTACTTTGGCCACCTAATGTGAAGAGCTGCCTCATTTAAAAAGATCCTGATGTTGGGAAAGATTGAAGGCAGGAAGAGCAGGGGATGACAGAGCATGAAATGGTTAGATGGCATCACCAACTCAATGGACATGAGTTTGGGTAAACTCCGGGAGTTGGTGATGGACAGGGAGGCCTGGCGTTCTGCAGTTCATGGGGTCACAAGGGGTCAGACACAACTGAGCGACTGAACTGAACTGAAAGTTAAAATTTGCTAATAAATAGGTATGGAGAGCTGCTTAAAATTAAATGGTTTTATTATGTTTCAAGAAAAGCTCTAGAGCTGTTTCTTTATTAACACTGTAACATTAGTAGTAGCATTCATTGAGTGACTAGTATGGGTCAGGCACTGTGCTAAGAGCTTTATATACATAAGCCTTTTTAAATATTAGTAATTATTCATATCAATATGGTTCCATCAGTAAGTGTTGGTATCAGTATGGTTCTACTGATATCTTTTAAATATTAGTAATTATTGATATCAGTATGATAACAGTATGTTTTATCCATACTATTTTCATTAGACTATCCTAATTTTCTTGACCACTTACACATATTATCCCCAATGTTCTTCCATTTACTCTGTGCCACTTCTTTATTAAATATATATACATATATACACATATACATATATACATATATATTTGGTTGCACAAATCATTGTGAACGATTCACGTTGTGAACAACACCCTGAACTCTTAGTTGCAGCACATAGTTTTCTGACCAGGGATCGAACCCTGGTCTCCTGCGTTGGGAGCAGAGTCTTAGCCACTGGACCAGCAGAGAAGTCCTCAATCACTTTATTACTGTGACTCTCCATTCTCCAGGTAGGAGAGTCCTGTTTCCTGGGATTATAAAACTTAAATGCAGGGTTTTATGTAAAGCTTTCCAAAGATTTCCACCATTACTTTAGAACAAAGTCAACTAAATTCTTGTAGTGGAACTACATACTGGGGATTTCATTCATTTATTAAGCAAAGATCCATCCAGGACTTCTGGTGAAATCACATGGCAAAGTTTTTTTTGTTTGTTTGTTTTGTTTAACTCCTTCTTTGAATAGACGACAGATGCACATAGCTATTTCCAAATGCTCTTTTTCATGTACGATTCTTAAAAATTCAAACAAGGCACTCAGAGTTGAAATACAATAAATCAGTTGCCACAATATCATGAAAAATTCATAATCACTGAGCACATGTATGCTACACAAACTGATAGGGAATGCTGATAACAGTTATTTTCTTCTCTCAAGAACATTCTTACTGTTTCGATCCATGATTAAAAGATAGTTATGGCTATTTAAATAATAAGTCTTATTGTCCTGCTTCATTAAAATGTAAAATACTGTTGGTAAAGTCATTTTTTAAAATATTTCCTTAGCTCTCTTAGCTCTCTCTTGGTTGGGATTTGCTTGGTTCTGACTCCTTTCATTAATGATCTCTCTGTGTCATATTTCAGACACATAATTAGCACAGAACTGGACTTTTTAAACAAATAAGCATCTGGTTTTTAAATGCAAAATTTAAACCATTGATATTTATTGTAATTACTAATATTTTTGAATCAACTTTTATATTATGTTGTGCCTCCTACTTGCCTTTTTTATTGATTTTTTTTCCTGCCATATATTGAATTCATCTCTTTTTTATTCCCTTTTCTCTTTCTAGAAAGTTATATATACATTCAAATTCTATTCTTCCATTGCTTACCTTCAGCATTTAGCTAAATAAACAAATAGCATGCTCGAATTTTAAAACTCTGAAGTTCATATCCTCTTTTCAACAATACAGAAAACATATGATGCTTTTGTTCTGATGATGTGGATTCTGCACTGTGTCTGAAAGTAGAACTTTTAGCCTTATAAAATAAAATTGGAAAAGACAGATGTCTTTATCGTTATTCCTATTTTTAGTTGTAAATTGGTGAGTGAAATTAACTTACCATAATGAATGTAATTTAAATTTTAAGTGACCAAATGCTTTTCTACAACAAACATTTAACACATGTATGCCCTATATTCTCAGACTCCGCATTAAAAGTCACAATCCTCGGAACCCTCAAAATAGAACTTTCAATGTTTCAGGAGTACTCTGCTCTTCTTAGTAAACTTATAGAGAAATCTGACATTTTGATGACAAAAAAGAAACAGAATAAATACACATAAAACTTAAATGTTATGGTAACTGGCATATAAATGTTTGCTAATGTTTTATTTAGCACCTTGCCTTAAAAAACATAGTGTGTGAGAAGTATTCCACTCTTTCAAAGTTCTTGTTAAGCTACTGACCAGAATTTTAACCTTTGTTTTCTAGACTGAAGTAAGACTAAATAACTTATATTTATGCCTTCACATTAATAACTCCTTTTCCATTTTATATGTTATCATTATCCATAATTTTATTATGATGCTGTTTTCATGCTTTCAATGATTTGTTGTTGGGGTCCTTTAATGGACTGGAACCTGGTGGTACGGAGTCGACGATAAGAAAGTAAAAGAGAGAAAGAGAGAGAGAGAGAGACAAAAAAAGACCCGGGGACCTAAGCTCTGATGGAGCAAAGGTGCTTTAATGATTTTTCTATGAGTATATATAGGCTGTGGTACAAGAAACTTCTTTCGGGAATGATAGAGATCAGAAAACCAAACGGACAGCAACCGTTACCAAGGGAACAAGGGGTAATGTTAGTCACAAGGTCAGGAGACAATCCATATCTCAAGAAAGGCGCACAAGACTAAGCAGTTTTGTCCTAAAGAGAATGTTTACTAAAGGAGACCCAAGCCTGCCTCACACAATGACCTCAGTCCCTGGGAGCAGCCTGCTGTTCCGCTTGAAGAGGGACAAAGGACTCATGAGGGACAGCACATAGGAAGACTCCCGTCAAACATTCCCTGACAATTTGTCATTTTTATAAAGTTAATTCTTGCTTAAAATTACTAACATATTTATAAATATCTTTGTTAAGCATTCCTTCTAACAACTGACTTCTTCCTTGTGACCTTCAGTCAGTTCAGTTCAGTCACTCAGTCGTGTCCGACTCTTTGCCACCCCATGAACTGCAGCACGCCAGCCCTCCTTGTCCATCACCAACTCCCGGAGCTTACCCAAACCCATGTCCACTGAGTCGGTGATGCCATCCAACCACCTCATCCTCGTCCCCTTCTCCTCATGCTGCCTTCAATCTTTCCCAGCATCAGGGTCTTTTCAAATGAGTCAGCTCTCCACATCAGGTGGCCAAAGTATTGGAGTTTCTGCTTCAACATCAGTCCTTCCAATGAACACCCAGGACTCATCTCCTTTAGGATGAACTGGTTGGATCTCCTTGCAGTCCAAGGGACTCTCAAGAGTCTTCTCCAACACCACAATTCAAAAGCATCAATTCTTCGGTGCTCAGCTTTCTTTACAGTCCAACTCTCACATCCATACATGACTACTGGAAAAACCATAGCCTTGACAGGACAGACCTTTGTTGGCAAAGTAATGTCTCTGCTTTTTAATATGCTGTCTAGGTCGGTCATAACTTTTCTTCCAAGGAGCAAGGGTCTTTTAATTTCATGCTGCAGTCACCACCTGCAGTGATTTTGGAGCCCCAAAAATAAAGTCTGTCACTGTTTCCACTGTTTCCCCATCTATTTGCCACAAAGTGATAGGACCAGATGCCATGATCTTAGTTTTCTGAATGCTGAGATTTAAGCCAACTTTTTCACTCTCCTCTTTCACTTTCATCAAGAGGCTCTTTAGTTCTTCACTTTCTGCCATAAGTATGGGGTCATCTGAATGTCTGAGGTTATTGATATTGCCTTGTGACCTTAATTTCTTGAAATTCATTTCTATTAGTGTTTACTGGAGTGACACAGTGAAAATATGTTATTTTTATTGAAGTAGAGAATACACCATATCAAAATTTGACAAAGTGGTAGTATCTTAAAGCTTAGGTGCCATGTGAAATCAAAACCCTTTCAATGAATTTTTTGTATTCTGTTACTATGAAATCCATTGGTCTATCTTCCCTTTTAAAGACTCCTACCCAGGCATGATTTTGTAGCACCATATATGAGTCACTGGAAAACAGTGATTCACAGACTTGAGCAGATCTTTCCCACATTAACATATTTTATTATATAATATTTTAAAAATCACATTTGTAAGTAATGCCTCCAATCTCACCAGAAAAGTCCAACTGTGGATATGCTATTAAGTCACTGTGGCAGATGCAAGTTTTCCCAAACTCCAGTTTGCACTTCAAAAGTCTAATTTTAAACTTGGCCACAAATACTGCCAGTTGTTTTCCATTAAGTGACAGGCTCACTTTGTTCATTTTTAGTAAAGTATCTGCCAAGTGCCCAAGTCTGAATAACCGTAATTTGTCTATTAGTCATTCTTTCAGGTTATAAAAGATGATCCATTAAAACAAAAAGTTATTCTTTTGCATTTTAAAACAAATGGCGTTTTCTGAGTTGGAAACAAGCTTGGCTTGTTTAAGAAACTCAGCAGAGTTCATCACAGCCAGGACAGCATGGTCAACGGAGGATGGATGAAGAAATAAGAAGAGAAAGATTATACAGGACCTTATTGACAGAAGTTTAAATATTTGGATTTTCTTCCAGGTCATCATGGATGGATGTGTACCAGGGGTGTAGTAAAGTCAGAATTACATTTTTTGAAGGTGACTCCAAATGCCCTAGGGAGACAGGGACAAAATCTGAAGCAAGAGAACAGTCCAGAGGAGACTGCTCTCAAGAGTGAGATGATGGTGGTAGAGATCAAGTTGCCATAGACCCCGGAGGGAGTGATGGGTTCCAGCATAGTCATATTTAAATGTGAATTTATTTTTCCCAGATCATAAAGAAAGCATGCCATCCTATGCTCCTCAGAGATGTCAGTCTCCAGCAAGCTCTGGCCCTCAGGAAAATCCACTACTTCATAAAATCATGAGCAGGAGGAAACCTTTCCCCACAAGGTCTGATGGCAAGGTAAAACAGACACTTACTACAGCACTTTTCTTTTTTCTTTTTTTTCATTTATTTTTATTAGTTGGAGGCTAATTACTTTACAATATTGTAGTGAGTTTTGTCATACATTGACATGAATCAGCCATGGATTTACATGTATTCCCCATCCCGATCCCCCCTCCCACCTCCCTCTCTACCCGATCCCTCTGGGTCTTCCCAGTGCACCAGGCCCGAGAACTTGTCTCATGCATCCAACCTGGGCTGGTGATCTGTTTCATCCTAGATAATACATGTTTCGATGCTGTTCTCTTGAAACATCCCACCCTCGCCTTCTCCCACAGAGTCCAAAGGTCTGTTCTGTACATCTGTGTCTCTTTTTCTGTTTTGCATATAGGGTTATCATTACCATCTTTCTCAATTCCATATATATGTGTTAGTATGCTGTAATGTTCTTTATCTTTCTGGCTTACTTCACTTTGTATACTGGGCTCCAGTTTCATCCATCTCATTAGAACTGGTTCAAATGAATTCTTTTTAATGGCTGAGTAATATTCCATGGTGTATATGTACCACAGCTTCCTAATCCATTCGTCTGCTGATGGGCATCTAGGTTGCTTCCATGTCCTAGCTATTATAAACAGTGCTGCGATGAACATTGGGGTGCACGTGTCTCTTTCAGATCTGGTTTCCTCGGTGTGTATGCCCAGAAGTGGTATTGCTGGGTCATATGGCAGTTCTATTTCCAGTTTTTTAAGGAATCTCCACACTGTTCTCCATAGTGGCTGTACTAGTTTGCATTCCCACCAACAGTGTAAGAGGGTTTACTACAGCACTTTTCTAGATGACCTTAGCACCTAAATAGGGGCTTCCCTGGTGGCTCAGCAGTAAAGAATCCATTTGCAGTGCGGGAGATGCAGGTTCGCTCTCTGGGTCGGGAAGATACCCTGGAGAAGGGAATGGCAACCCACTCTAGTGTTCTTGCCTGGAGAATCCCATGGACAGAGGAGCCTGGTGGGCTACGGTCCATGGGATCACAAAGAGCTGGACATGACTGAAGCAACTGAGCATGCTCACACAGCACCTAAAGAGAGCTTTCTTGAACAATGCCTGAAAAGGAGATCATTACAATACACTCTGAGATTTCTCCCTTCTGGCTATATATTATTGGGGGTTAATATGTTTTAAAATACTTTGCTATATAACATTGCATCTTGCCATTTCACTAAATTCTTCAACTTGCATACTTCCATATTCTAAAAGTGCTTTTCTTTAAATTGATCCAAAAAATAGAGATATTTAGAACTGTGTTGTATGTGTATTGGTTGTTCAGTAGTGTTTTGCAATTGATGAAGATTTATATATTGCAACTGTTTTCCCAACAAAAGATTCACAAGTTATATGCTCATTTCATTTGAACAGTTCAGCAAGCATTTACTGAGCACTTTTCTATACCAGACAACGTGCTAGAAGTTATGGTCTCTGCCCCAGGGGAAATGTAAAGAGAAGCAGAGATGCAAACAGATGTAATAGTAGATGGATTCTTGCTTGTCCTTCACCTATTTCCTGCTTTCTTTCTAAAATATTCTCTGTTCCTACAACCAGTTCTTCTAGGTCGTGCTGCACTTATACTCACCTATATGGGGGGATAAAACTTTCTTTTAGCTTCTACCCTTTTCCCTCCATCATGTTGCAACATTACTTATTAAAGTCTTCCATGATAAGTCACAGAAGGACATGTTCCGTCCAGGTCTCCATTCCATAGCCTCATAGGCTAAGAGTTCTGCTACAGAGCTTGCTAAAGATTTTAAGCAGGAGCAGAGCACATAGAATCTCTCTAGTCAGTTCAGTTCAGTTCAATTCAGTCTGTCAGTCGTGTCCTACTCTTCGTGACCTCATGGACTGCAGCATGCCAGGCCTCCCTGTCCATCACCAACTCCCAGAGATTGCTCAGACTCATGTCCATCAAATTGGTGATGCCATCCACCCATCTCATCTCCTGTCGTCCCCTTTTCCTGGGGACCAATCTTCCTGGCAAAGATTAAACATCTTTCCCAGCATCAGAGTCTTTTCTGAAGAATCAGTTCTTCACATCAGGTGGCCAAAGTATTGGAGTTTCAGCTTCCACATGTGTCCTTCCAATGAATATTCTGGACTGATTTCCTTTAGGATTGACTGGTTTGATCTGCTTGTTGCCCAAGGGACTCTCAAGAGTCTTCTCCAACACTACACTTAAAAGCATCAATTTTTCGGTGCTCAGCCTTCTTCACAGTCCAACTCTCACATCCATACGTGACTACTGGAACAATTGCTCATATTCCTGCAATGTTCCAAGTGCCATTGGTTGTCCTTATATTTGGTGTTAATTTTGACCTTAATTCTAGAAGAAGTCTCATACTCTTAAATTTGACTTTGCGCACAGTTTGCACATGGTATGTGCATAGAAATGTTTGTGCATAGTTCATCTATTGCCCTATCTTACATACCTGGCTTCCTTTTCATCATCTCCTTCATAAGCACTGGAATCCCAGAATCCTACCTAGGTATCTATCCAAAAACTACACCCCTCCCAGAACCTGGATTCTTCAGGCATGGGAGAGGCTTGCACTAAACCAGGATTTCCCTGATTTCAAGTATTTGAATGCATGTTTATGATCTGTGGCCTATCTGTATATTATCTATAATGACGTTATTTTTTTTTCATTTTACATCACTGCTTTATTAAACCAGTATTACATACATAGAAAGTAATCTTAAAACTAACCGTGGCATTCTACTTCTAAGTATACACCCAAAGAAACGAAAGCAGGGACTCAAACAAAATTTTGTACACTCATGTTGACAGCAGCATTATTTACAACAGCTGTGAAGTAGAAACAGCCCAAATGTTTACTAACAAATAAATGGATAAATGAAATATAGTAACATTGTTCAGTTGTAAAAAGGAATGAAATCCTGACACGTTACAAAATAGATGAACCTTAAAAACATAACACAAAAAGACCAGGATAGAGTCTACTTGTAGAATAAGTAAATTCATAGAACCAGAAAGCAGAATGGTGGCTACCAGAGGAGTTATTGTTGAACGTGTAGAGTGTTTCAGTTCGGTATGATGAAAACGTTTTGGAGCTGAATAGTGTGATGGCTGCAAAGCCATGTGAATGTGCTCAATGTCATTGCATTGTACACTTGAAAATGGTTACATGGTAAATCTTCTGTTGTGTATAGGGGCTTCTCGGGTGGCACAGTGGTAAAGAATCTACCTCCCAATGCAGGAGATGCAAGAGACTTGGGTTCCATCCCTGCGTCGGGAAGATCTCCTGAAGTAGGAAGCAGCAACTCACTCCAGTATTCTTGCCTATGAGACCCCAAGAACTGTAGCCCACCAGGCTCCTCTGTCCATGGGGTCACAAAGAGTCAGAAACAATAGAGGACATACACATGGTGTGTATATTTTATCACATCTTTAAAAAAATTCATTTTAGCTCAAATGAAATAAGGCTATTATATTGGTTTTTTTTTTCTTTTTTTTTTTATTTATTTATTTATTTTTTTTATCACAACCATAGTGTATCTTTTTTTTTTTTTTTTTTTTTACATGTATTTCCCATCCCGGTCCCCCCTCCCACCTCCCTCTCCACCCAATCCCTCTGGGTCTTCCCAGTGCACCAGGCCCGAGCACTTGTCTCATGCACCCAACCTGGGCTGGTGAAAGTAAAAGAAATGTCATAGTGATATTAAGCACCAAAATATTAAGCATCCCTGTTGGATCATTCAGAGGGCTGGAAAGAAAAGTGAAAGGGGCCCATCTCTCCCTCCAGGTCATTCAGAATTGCCTCACACTGTGTTTGAACAGCACCTAAACACACCAGCTCACACTCATGATCACACCTGGAGAACTACAGAGTTATGAAATCTCTAATAGCCGTTCCCTTCTCCAGGGAATCTTCCCAACCCAGGAATCAAACCCGGGTCTCCCACTTTGCAGGAGGATTCTTTACCAGCTGAGCCCTCAGGGGAGCCCAAGAATACTGGAGTGGGCAGCCTGTCCCTTCTCCAGGGGATCTTCCCGACCCAGGACTCGAACCAGGGTTTCCTGCATTGCAGGCAGACTCTTTACCAGCTGAGCTCCCAGGGAAGAATTAGCTCCAGCTTCAACAAACAACATCAGAGTAGAAACAGCACAGCGTCGCTGAGCCCTGCCAGGCTCCCGGGGTGGCAGAGGAGCCCCCCAGAAGCAGCAGGCCTTTCTCAGCACAGAGAGCTCCCTCTTCCTCAGGGAAGTGGGGCTCTGGGCTGCCCTATGTTCTGAAACCTGGTACCTGACTTTGCTGGAGGGGAGCAGGTCCCACTTCTGGACCTTCCAGCACACACCCGCCCCTGGCAGTAGGGACTAGGAAAAGGGGTTCATTCCAAAAGATGCCTCAAGCAAGAGGTGACTCTGCCCCCCAGCTCCATGGAAGACAATGGCAGAACCAGGGAGGAGGAGGCGAGAGGAGCCAAAGAGATCCCAGGCAGCAGGGCTAGCTCGTGCCAAGCCGTGAAGCTGTGTGTGTCCAGGCAAGAGCAAACAGCAGGCTGGCCAGCTGCAGTCGGGGAGAGGGGTGGTGGGGGCAAAAAGTGAAGCTGGAGAGTTGGGGGGAAGCTGGCCCATGCCTTTCCCAGTGATGCTCGCACGTGCTTGACGAACGCTGATCATCGCAAGATCAGGTTTGCGCTGGGAGGACCAGGGACTTTGAAGACCAAAAACCTGATGTCACATCCCTTGTTCTTGCCGCTTGGAACAGTGACTTCCCGAGCCTCCACAGTCCTGGCTGTCTGCCCCACAGGGTTCTTGCGGCCATGGACTGGGATAAGAATGAGGGAGGGCCTTGGAGATGTTGGACTCATGGAAAGGGTTATTTAATATGATTATCCTTGGAACTCAGTAAAGGAATTGCAGATCCATGGCACATCTCCCTGATTGCCCTAGCTTCTCTCTGCTGTGACGGATTTGATAATCAAAAGAAATAAATTTCTGTAAGTATGATACCATGGCACAGAGAGAAAGCCAGACAGACTAGGGTTCAAATCCCAGTACTACCACAGGTGACTTTAGGCAATTGACATAAAGATGCTCTCAGGACTTCCCTGGTAGTCCAGTGGTTGAGAGTCTGCCTGCCAATGTAGGAGACATGGGTTTGATCCCAGATCCGGGAGGATTCCACATACCGCAGGGCAGCTAAGCCCATGTGCCACAGCTACTGAAGCCGGCGTGCCCTAGAGCCTATGCTCTGCAACAAGAGAGGCCACTGCAATGAGAAGCTTTCAAACTGCAACTAGAGAGCAGCCTCTGCATGCTGCAACTAGAGAAAGTCCATACAGCAACAAAGACCCAGTGCAGCAAAAAATAAACAAATAAATGAAAAAAAAATTTTTAATTAATTTAAAAATTTTTAAAAGATGCTCTCAATCTCCACCTATCTTTTCCTCCGCTGCTGTTTTTATGGTGACTAGGACCTCATAGGCATCATAAGCAACATACAATTCCACCTCAATAAGCTTCAGCAGGTATAGGTTCAGAACACGTTGATGATAAAGGGTTTGTTATCCATTTTGAGTTTGGCGCCAAAACACCTTTCTCAGTAGATGGAGTAATGTTTCTGGTGACTTTCAATGACAGATCTGTCATGTCATTTCACAATTCCTAAACTGCTGTTACTTTGTCTGTGTCCATCTCAAGATCCAAGGACAGGCAGTTTTTACTGTGTATTTGCTATAAATTCAACTGTGATCGATCACTGTATGTGTGTTCAGTCACTCAGTCATATCCGACTCTTTGTAGCCCTGTAGCCTATAACCCACCAAGCTCCTCTGTCCGTGGAATTTTCCAGACAATACTGGAGTGGGTTACCATTTCCTACTCTAGGGGATCTTCCCAACCCAGGGATAGAAACCACGTCACTTAGATCTCTTGCATTGGCAGGCGGGCTCTTCACCACTGTGCCACCTGGGAAGCCCCACGATTTGGCACTAATGGAACAAAAGTGAACTTTAATTAACAATCCTTCCCTTTGACTCTAGAACACTCACTATTTCATCTATACTGCAGGATGTCCAGCACAACAAATGGTACATTGGAGAATACAGTCGCCAGGCAGTGGAAGAGGCGTTAATGAAGGAGAACAAGGTAACGGCTTCTCCAGGGCCTATTGTGTTATTTCTGTAGTCATCCTAGAGTTTTCTGCCCATAGATCACATGTTGTAATTTCTCACTGCTGGGGAGGTTGTCACTGAAAACGGGTTTTCAAATAGTTTTAGATTTGAGACTTGGTTGTACCACTTATCAGCTGTGTGACTTTCTCAAGTTCCTAAACATCTGTAAATGCAGGTTTCCTTATTTGTGAAATGAAAATAGTAAAATCAACCCTAATGATCTATTTTGGAGACCAAATGTGGAGGCTAGGGTAGAAACGGAGGCTGCAATGGAAGGTGCCTTCCTTCTGCTTTGTTCAAGAGTCATGTCCTTCCTATAGGTCTGCCCAAGGTACAGTTGGCTTTTTACCTCTCACTTCTTTAAGAAATAGCAGGGCTGATGAATGCTGTAATAGTCAGGGTGTGATATATTATGGTGTAGTAACAAACAGCCCCAAGATGTCAGTTGCTTAACATAACAGAACTGTACTTGTCTCTTGAACTTCATGATCAAGACGGGTTTGGGTGGGTAGACCCCAACTGCTAGAGGCTCCATCTCAGTGTATGCTCACACCAATCAGGCACTGGCTTCCAACACATTCTCTCAAATATAACATGCTGCATCTCTGGTCACATTTCATTGCCCAGACTAAACCACATGACCAGACTCAACTTTAAAACAAGCGGAAAAGTGTGAAAAAAATAAAAAGGTTCCAAAGCTACATGTGGTCAAAAAAAGAGAGGACCTACCTGGAATAACTGTGATCAGAGCAAATCACTACTATAACCATCATCACAAATAGAAAATAGTTGCTAAGCAACTAACTCTACTATGTGCAAGAACTAGAATAGATTGTTTAGAAGTGACAGAAAGGCTCTCAGGACCAATGGAACATCAAAACTTATCCTCAGCTAACCAATACAATTGTATTGTTAAGTGAGGAAATATAAAACTGAATGAGTTAGTTAATTAGCAGATGGGTGAATAAATGACAGGTCCCCAATAAATTTTAATAAAACTTAGCTCTCAGAATTGATATCATTATTAATACACATTATATATAATTATATAATAAATAACATATTGGTATCAAATTACTAAGTTAAATTATATGTAAGTTGCTAGGGTAAACAGAATAATGCTCCTCCCACCACGATATATCCACATTCTAATCCCCAATATCTGTGTCTCTGTCACCTTATATGGAAAGAAAGTTTGCAGATGGAATTAAGTTAGGAATCTTGAGATAGGGAAATTATTCTGGATTATCAGGGAAGGTTGACTATAATCACAAGGGTCCTTAGAAGAGGGAGACAGGAGGCTCAGAGTCAGGCCTAGAGAGCAACAAGGCAAGCACTGGTGGCAGCTTCTAGAAGCTGCAAAAGGCAAGAAAATACATTCTCCCCTAGTATCTCTAGAAGGAACACAGCCCTGCTGGCACCTTGATTTAAACCCAGTGAGTCCCGTATCAAACTTCAATCCCCAGAACTGTAGGAGAATAAATTTTTATGTTAGTCCATTGAGGTCACACAAATTTGTTATAGTAGTAGTAGGAAATTAATACATCTGATAACAAAGTATCCTGAACGTATTAGGAGTTGGCAAAACTATCTCATTCTCTAGATAAGGAAACTGAGGCTAAGGTTTCAATTACAAGGTGGAGAAAGTGGCAGAACCTGTATTAAAGATCAGCGCTGTTTTCAAAAGATCACAGAGGCCTCTAGCAGGCACTGTAGTTCTTTATTTTCTAGAGGGGACTAGAAAGGACTCATAGGTGGCTGGGTGGTGCTTGCCTCGAGGACTCTCTCTTCCCTCTCCCCGAGGAATCCCACGCATGGCTGACCTCTGCTGGGTCTAATGGTGGCATAGTTGTGCCAGCTCCAACCCTGTCTCTTCTTGGCTAATCAACCATCACACGCCCTGAGTCTCTTTCCCAAGAGAAAACTAGCTCTTAGAAGACCTACTTGCAGGAGCCCCTTGTGTGGATGGTGCTAGACGCGCAGCATACATGCCGTATAATGTCCTTCCAGCTACATGTGGGCATTTCCAAGGCTCCCCTCCATGTGCCTGTTTCCCAAAAAGCATTGAGAAAACAGAATCTCAGTTGAATGACTTCATATTTTCCTACTCGGTTTGTCTCAGTTTTGTCAAAACATGTTTCCCATTTATGTAAGATGATTTATTTCAAATTGCAGGGTTGCCCGCATTCACTGTGACAAACTCATTGCAGAGTGTTAAATGATAAACCCCCAAACCAGCCACATGTCTTGGCCTCCTCTTCCTTTCTAATCTTTGGCTATGTTCTGTGCTTGAGTCTTAAGCCTTTAATTATGGCTGAATGTTTTTGGCAAAACAGGTTCCAGAAAATTCCTTAAACTCACATTATGCACTTGGAGATTGGTGTATTTATAGCAAGAATGTGGCCTTGGCCTTTTGGTATTCCGTTGATTAGCTGTGATGTGTCAGGGGATCCACTTAGATAATTAGAACTTAATTCCCTTACCTGTAAAATGGGGATAAAACACCTCCTCAAGCCTTATATAAGGATCAAATGAAATGTGTATAAAGTGCTTGGCATCTTGAGAGAAGTTTTCAGTAAACCTTAGCTGCCAGCATCATGACATCACTATAGTTTTATAGTATTATTTATAAATTTAATATATTTATAGTGTTATTACAGAGTATTATAATCATTATTATATATGCATGTATATAATATCTATAAACATATAGCTATGAAATATAGTTGATAGAGGAGATAATTACAAATATAAATTATCATATATAATACCTATCATATAAAGAATGCATAGTACTGTACATACTTAACTAGATCTACTCTACAGATTATTTATAACTACATATCCAAGAATCGATGCAATTGCAGTTAAAGATTTTTCAGTATTTTTCCTCATATAACTGACATGATGTAGCCACAGAACTAAGCCTTATATGTGTACCTGTTCAGGAAGATTGCTCCATTTCTTAGCCTTTTATGACCAGACCTTCATCCTGAGCTACTTCCCAGGGTGTGCCTGATTATTTGATATTATATTTATAGCTTGTCTACTTACAGCCTTCAGACCATTTCACACTGTTGGCCTTCTTTTGGAAACCTCCACTGTCTGCCCTCGGCTTCCGTGACACTGACGCTTCCGAGTTTCAGTCCATCTCTGAGACATCAATTTGGAGTGTTTTGTTGTCTCCTCTTCTTTGCCCTGCACTTCCTGTCGCCTCAGCCCAGGCTCTATTTTCTATTTCTCCTTCATAGACTTTCCACTCACTTTGACGTCAGTCACTGAAGCTATCTCCCCATGCGGAGGATCGCCGTCAATGCTCAAATCCTCTCTTACTCAGAGCCTGCGGTGGTTCCCACTGTCTCTAGAATAATAGCCTGAACATTAACAGAACAGGAAATGCATGAACCTTGGCAGATGGAGGCAAGCAACCCCAGAGAGGGGAGGAAAGGGAAGTCAGAGGGGGCGGCTTATGCAAACGCTAAGAACCTGAAAGCAAGATGGTGCCCCTGGGAAATGGTAGCTTCACCAGCACCATCATCCCAAGGCTGGAGGCTGCAGGAGTGACCGAGATAAGACTGCAGGAGAGTCTGGTACCTTGGTCCGTGAACATCATGTTATAGTGGTAGGCAAGGCACTGAGGACAGCGGGGGATGTTGGAAGATTTGGAAGAAGAGGGTGTTGTGATCTGACTGGTGCACTTCTCACAAAATAACAACAACCCCTAGACACGTTGTTGTTCAGTCGCTCAGTCGTGTCCCTTTGCGACACCATGGACTGCAGCTCTCCAGGCTTTCCTGTCCTCACTATCTCTTGGAGTTTGCTCAAACTCATGTCCATCAAGTCAGTGATGCCATCCAACCCTCTCATCCTCTGTCACCCCTTCTTCTCCTGCCATCAATCTTTACCAGCATCAGGGTCTTTTCCAGTGAGTTAGCTGTTTGCATCAGGTGGCCAAAGTATTACAGCTTTAGCTTCAGTCCTTCCAATGAATATCCAGGGTTGATTTCCTTTAGGATTGTAACCTTCAGTAAACACCTACTGAATTAAATTGAATAAAGAACTGGCTTGCCAAAAACTAAAGCCACTTGGGGATCTCAGGCACACAGGCTTCACTGCTGTGCCTGTCGGGAGGGTGGATTCTGATTATACTACCCGTGAAGATCATTGTTCTTCCTCTTGCTTCAGGATGGCACCTTCTTGGTCCGAGATTGCTCTGCAAAATCCAGGGCGGAGCCGTACGTGCTGGCGGTGTTTTATGGGAACAAAGTCTATAATGTGAAAATCCGCTTCCTGGAGAGGAATCAGCAGTTTGCCCTGGGGACAGGACTCAGAGGAGATGAGGTGGGTGTAAGCCAGTGGCTTCTTTTGCAGGCAAAGGACAGCAATAAGGGGAGCCCTGAAGGAATTCACAGGGATTCTCTAGTGGCTCAGACTGGAAAGAGTCTGCCTGCAATGTGGGAGACCCAGGTTCGATCCCTGGAGAAGGAAATAGCAACCCTCTCCAGTATTCTTGCCCGGAAAATCCCATGGATGGAGGAGCCTGGTGGGCTGCAGTCCTTAGGGTCGCAAAGATTTGGACACAACTGGGCGACTTCACTTTGGGAGGTGCTGGCTGAGACACTTCCAAATCTCCATGATTGCAGGATCTCAGGAGAGCCGCCCTGGAGGTACAGAATGTAATCTAATCCTTCCAGCCCCTTCCATAAGCATCCTCACCCATGTCTTAGCTCACAGGACCTGCAGCCAATCCTGACATTTCCATGCACCCTCTCTCCTGCTTGGCCCATTAAAGAAAACTCATTCTTAACACACATCTCCATCCTACCTGGCAGGAATCCTTCCCTGAGACCCATGTTAATGCCACACTCCTTCCCCACCGAGTGCTGAACTCACACTGCAGCCATTTCTGGCGACATCTCCAGTATTGGCATTAGGAATCAGTATGTGTGTGTCCCCACATTGATCGTGGGCTCAGTCACTGCATCCAGTGCTATGCTGAGCGTGACCAACCTCGGTACACGTCTGCTGAGAGGCGGCTAGGTGCAAGAATGACTCTATTAAAGCATTCATTAATAACTGAATAAATAGAGCAGAGAGAAAAGGGAAAGGAGATTGATTTCTGCTGTGTTTATGCTAGGCCTGGTCTGTCTGAATTATCTTATTTTAACCCTCAACAGCTCTTTGATAGAACAGTGGTTCCTATCTTAAACGTAGGAAAACTGAGGCTTAGAAAATTAAGTCGAGGGCTAGAGATGCACAGGTGGTGAGGGAGCAAAGAGAAGCTGTTCTTTCAACTCTTCTGGAAGGAAGGTAGGAAGGAGGGAGGGAGGGAGGAAAGAGAAGGCAAGACAGGGTTCAAGTTCTATCACCACGTACTAAGAGTGTAAACTCAGGCCAGTCACTTCACTTCTCTGGGCTTTCAGTTCAGTTCAGTTGTTCAGTCATGTCCAACTCTTTGTGACCCCATGAACTGCAGCACGCCAGGCTTCCCTGTCCATCACCAACTCCCGGAGTCCACCCAAACTCATGTCCATCGAGTCAGTGATGCCATCCAACCATCTCATCCTCTGTCATCCCCTTCTCCTCCTGCCCTCAGTCTTTCCCAGCATCAGGGTCTTTTCAAATGAGTCAGCTCTTCGCAATCAGGTGGCCAGAAGCATTGGAGTTTCAGCTTCAACATCAGTCTTTCCAATAAACACCCAGGACTGATCTCCTTTAAGATGGACTGGTTGGATCTCCTTGCAGTCCAAGGGACTCTCAAGAGTCTTCTCCAACACCACAGTTCAAAAGCATCAATTCTTTGGCACTCAGATTTCTTTATAGTCCAACTCTCACATCCATACATGACTACTGGAAAAACCATTGCCTTGACAGGATGGACCTTTGTTGGCAAAGTAATGTCTTCCTTTTTAATATGCTATCTAGGTTGGTCATAACTTTCCTTTCAAGGAGCAAGCGTCTTTTTATTTCATGGCTGCAATACCATCTGCAGTGATTTTGGAGCCCAAAAATATAAAGTCAGCCACTGTTTCCACTGTTTCTCTGGGCTTTAAGTTCTGTAAATGTTCTTTGGAAGTCTTAACTTTTGTAATTTGGTGATTCTCATGTACCCCCTCAGCTTATCTGTCAGTATATGTTATATGCTGAATTGTGGCCCCCTTTCAAATTCCTATGTGACAATTCTAGCCCCCAGCACCTCCGAATGTGACCGTATTTGCAGGCAGGGTCTTTTTGTTTGTTTTTGTTTTCTTTATGTATTTTGACTGCATCAGATCTTAGTTGAGGCATGTAGGGTCTTTTGTTGCGGCACACAGCCTCTTTAGTTTGGGCACATTTGCTCCAGAGCATGCAGACTCAGTAGTTGTGATCATCAGGCTTAGTTGCCCCGTGGCATGTGGGATCTTAGTACCCTGACCAGGGATCAAACCCATGTCCCCTGCATTGCAAGGTTTCATAACCACTGGGCCACCAGGGAAGTTCCCTAGAGATAAGGTCTTTAAAGAGGTGACTAAGATAAAGCGAGGTCACTAGAGTGGCCTCTGACCCCATAGGCCTGGTGTCCTTATGAGAAGAGGAGATTAGGACATAGACACACACAGATGTGTGGTCACAGAGAGAAAGGGGACATTTCCAAGCCAAGGAGATAGGCCTTAGAAGGAACCAATCCTGCCAACACTTTGATCTTGGAATTCTGACCTCCAAATCTGTAAGAAAATGAATTTCCATCATTTAAGTCCCCTGCCACCCTAGTCGGTGGTACTTTGTTGTGGAAGCCCAAGAACACTGGTACAGTAGGAATCCAGAACTGTCACACAAACACTGATTGTTCTTCAATAGATATCAAGATGACTGTTGCCAAGGCTGCCAAAATGCTTCAGGAAGGCATGAGTGTGGACACTCCAGCTTAAACCCAGCGCCTGACCCAGGGCACTTTTCTGAGAATCACACATGGCTGGAGGGGGTGGTCAGCACTGGCCAGGCCACCATGGGGTCATTTCACCAGACTCTGCTCCAGCCTGGGAAAGTTCTGGCATGAAGGAGAACATAAGTGAATAAATAAATTAATACATAAATAAATCTTCCAAATATTGCCAAATAAGAAAGGGATCAAAAGATCAAATTGCCAACATTCAATAGATCATGGAGAAAGCAAAGGAGTTCCAGAAAAACATCTATTTCTGCGTCATTGACAACATGAAAGCTTTTGACTGTGTGGATCACAATGAACTGAGGAAAATTCATGGGCACAAACCTTACCTGTCTCCTGAGAAATCTGTATGAAGGTCAAGAAGCAACAGTTAGAACCAGACATGAAACAACTGACTGGTTCAAAGTTGGGAAAGGAGTATGACAAGGCTTTATATTGTCACACTGCTTGTTTAACTTATATGCAAGTACATCATGTGAAATGCTGGGCTGGATGAATCACAAGCTGGAATCAAGATTGCCAGGAGAAATATCAACAACCTCAGATATGCAGATGAAACCACTTTAATGGCAGAAAGTGAAGAGGAACTAAAGAGCCTCTTGATGAGGGTAAAAGAGGAGAGTGAAAAAGCTGGCTTCAAAGTCAACATTAAAAAGACTAAGATCGTGGCATCTGGCTCCATCACTTCATGGCAAATAGAAGGGGAAAAAGTGGCAACAGTGACATTTTATTTTCTCAGGCTCCAAAATCACTGTGGACGGTCACTGTAGCCATAACATTAAAAGATGTTTGTTCCTTGGGAGGAAAGTTATGACAAATCTAGACAAAATAATAAATAGAGACATCACTTTGCTGACAAAAGTCTGTACACTCAAAGCTATGGTTTTTCCAGTAGTCATGTACAGATGTGAGAATTGGATCATAAAGAAGGCTGAGTGCCAGAGAATTGATGCTTTTAAACTGTGTTGCTGGAGAAGACTCTTGAGAGTTTCTCGGAATACAAGGAGATCAAACCAGTCAATCCTAAAGGAAATCAACCCTGAATATTCATTGGAAGGACTGAGGCTAAAGCTGAAGCTCTAGTATTTTGACCAGCTGATTCACTGTAAAAAAAAAAAAAAAAAAAAACAAACCCTGATGCTGGGAAAGATTGAAGGCAAATGGAGAAGGGGGTGGCAGAGGATGAGATGGTTAGATAGCATCATTGACTCAGTGAACTTGAAATTTGAGCAAACTCCTGGAGATATAGTGGAAGACAGAGGAAACTGGCATACTGCAGTCCATGGGGTCACAGAGCTGGACATGACTTAGCGACTGAACAATGAAAACAAAGGGTTACAGCAAAACTAAAAAGAGGATTTGCAACTATTTCCTTTTTTGATGAGGATTAGTGAGTTAATGAATGTCAAACACTAAGAACACTACCTGGGACATATCAATAAATGTTTGTTATTATTATTTTTTATTATTCTGACTGGGTCATGGTGATAACTAGGACATAGTTCCCCTTAGGTCCAGATAGGATGTGCATGCTCAGTCATGTCTGACTCATTGTGACCTTATGGACTGTATAGCCCACCAGGCTCCTCTGTCCATGGAATTTTCCAGGCAGGAATACTGGAGTGAATTTTCATTTCCTGCTCCAGCGGATCTTCTCGAGCCAGGGATTGAACCCGCGTCTCTTGTCTGCTGCACTGGCAGGCAGACACAAGATTCTACACCAACCACTGCACCACCTGGGAAGCCCCTAGGTCCAGATACCTATGGTTAATGGAGTTTCCCAGCTCAATTTCCCTTTATTCTTTGGTGTCTTCTGCCAGCTCATAGAATTTCTCATTTAGAAAAAAAAAAAAAGGCTTATCTGACTCTGACTTTAAGTGCTTGGGATTCCTTTTCCTTAGAGAATACAAGAAATGGAAATCACGTTCCCTAAAATGTATGTGCTGGGCTGTCTCTGAGCTGCTGTTTTCATTTGCTGTCGCCTTTGAAAACACTCTGGAAAGGATGCATTATTGAATCCCTTTTACCAGTGAGGAAACGAAGCTCTAAAGAGGTTACAGCTTTTTCCAAGCTATACCTTGGTCTGCCTGTGAAAGAGGAAACAATAGCCCTACGATAACTTCCTAATAGTGTTGAAGCAGGTTGCCAGCCAGTTCACGGCCGGCCTCAGCAGGTAAACAGTTGTCATCCTGACCACCCTAGGATTAGACCATCAGCTTCCAGATGAACTGCTCTAATTATCGCCATCAAGGAGACTTAAGAATCCAAATGCGTTGGTTGGCCAAAAATTTCATTTGGGTTTTTCTGTAGATGGTATGGAAAAACCTCAATTTTTTGGCCAAGCCAGTATAACTGATTCACTTTTCTGTATACCTGAAACATTGTAAATCAACTATACTTCAATGAAAAATAA